GTTGCCTTGTGTGCTCTGACTGGTCAGTTGGACCCTGGGTCCTCTGGTTGGTCAGGTGGCCGTACGTGCGCTTATTAATCTGAAAGCTGATGTGCTCTTCATGGGCCGTACGTGCGCTGATTAATCTGAAAGCTGATGTGCTCTCTTGATCAAAACATGCGACACAAGCTAAACATGTGTCGCAAATATAGAAACCGTGTCTAAAATAGAAATGTCACAAAAAAAATAAAAAATGTGAAGTGCACGCAAAACATGCGACACAAGCTAAACATGTGTCGCAAAAATAGAAACGGTGTCTAAAATAGAAATGTCACAAAAAAAATCAAAAATGTGAAGTGCACGCAAAACATGCGACACAAGCTAAACATGTGTCGCAAATATAGAAACCGTGTCTAAAATAGAAATGTCTTGAAAAAAATCGAAAATGTGAAGTGCACGCAAAACATGCGACACAAGCTAAACATGTGTCGCTAAATAGAAACGGTGTCTAAAATCGAAATGTCTCTAAAAAAGTCGAAAATGTGAAGTGTGCACCAAAACATGCGACACAAGCTAAACATGTGTCGCAAATATAGAAACCGTGTCTAAAATAGAAATGTCACAAAAAAAATAAAAAATGTGAAGTGCACGCAAAACATGCGACACAAGCTAAACATGTGTCGCAAATATAGAAACCGTGTCTAAAATAGAAATGTCACGAAAAAAATCAAAAATGTGAAGTGCACGCAAAACATGCGACACAAGCTAAACATGTGTCGCAAATATAGAAACCGTGTCTAAAATAGAAATGTCACGAAAAAAATCGAAAATGTGAAGTGCACCCAAAACATGCGACACAAGCTAAACATGTGTCGCTAAATAGAAACGGTGTCTAAAATCGAAATGTCTCTAAAAAAAGTCAAAAATGTGAAGTGTGCACCAAAACATGCGACGCAAGCTAATCATGTGTCGCAGAAATAGAAACGGTGTATAAAATCTAAACGTTACAAAGCTAGGGTGCTCTGATCGGTCAGGTTGCCTTGTGTGCTCTGACTGGTCAGTTGGACCCTGGGTCCTCTGGTTGGTCAGGTGGCCGTACGTGCGCTTATTAATCTGAAAGCTGATGTGCTCTTCATGGGCCGTACGTGCGCTGATTAATCTGAAAGCTGATGTGCTCTCTTGATCGACCGGTTGGCCTGGGGTGCTCTGATTGGTCAGTAGGCAGCTGTGTGCACTGGCTGGTCAAGTGCCTTACACCGTGCCTTCACAAAACATGCGACGCAAGCTAAACATGTGTCGCAAAAATAGAAACCGTGTCTAAAATAGAAATGTCACAAAAAAAAACAAAAATGTGAAGTGCACGCAAAACATGCGACACAAGCTAAACATGTGTTGCAAAAATAGAAACAGTGTCTAAAATCTAAATGTCACAAAAAAAATTTAAAATGTGAAGTGCACGCAAAACATGCGACACAAGCTAAACATGTGTCGCAAAAATAGACATGGTGTCTAAAATCTAAATTTAACGTCATCGCGATGGTTCGTGGAAAAACTCCATATTAATCTGAACGCTGATGTGCTCTTAATTGACACACACACACACACAAACTAACTAACACCATCCATGCATGCTCACTCACTTGGGAACGATATTGTCAGACTTCAGGGCGGCTTCCTTTAAAATTAGACTAGAGCTACCGACCGCTCCCATGCTTTATTCTGAAATTTATTTCTTCACCGCAAGAAATCTGGTCGGCTAGCGCGGGAATGCAGACCTGCAGTTCATATTTACCTGGTCTCAGTTCTCGTTCAGTTGAGAAATACTGTGTGCTCCGACTCAGTCGGAAATACTGCCAAACCATCAGGTCATTTGTTGTGCGACTCTCCTTACCTCACCTCTCTCTCTCTCTCCTCCACACTGTATCGTCATGACAATCACGCATATGCTTTTGTAGGCATTAAATAAATAATATTTGTTATTTAGTACTTGCCTGCTATTTAAGTGCATTGTTTTTATGATGGTATAACAGTATTGAAACTGACACCTTTGCTTTTTTTAGGTCCCGCTGTATACCATATTACCGTATTACCGCCCAAGCCTAGTGCAATACCTAGTTCAACCATTGGATTTCAAACTTGCGTACTGCACCTTTTAAAGTAGAGCCCATAGCCTCACACAAGAAAGGTGTTTCCGATTTATGGTATATATTTTTCAGGCATTCACTTCAAATTAAAAGCTTTATAAAAAGTAAAAAGAGTGAAGACATCACAACTTTTTTTTATCCATTTACTATCACTGTTATCACTTTTTTATTTTTTTTTTTAGGCGGAAGATCAGTATCTAAACCATCTGGACAAAACCTTCATCTGCTCTCTGTGTGTCAGTCTTGGGTTGACATTGTTGATTCAGATCAGTGGGTTCTGCTGGAGCCGTCAGTCTGTAGAGATGGAGGCTCAGAGTTCAAGATCAGCACTCTGGCGGATCAATTCCAGAGCAGCAGGACCAGACTGCGATGAGTCCGATGGAGATGTCACTCTCCACTACCGGGCAGTGGATGGAAATTTTTTCAACAGTGTTCGAGAGGCCGTCAAACTCCTCAGCTACACAGATGAAGGAATGCCTTTACAATCTGTAGAGCTTAGCCGTTATCATGCCTCTACATGCGCTGTCACATAAAATCACATTCAAGCTCACATTATTAGCATTTAACAGTGAATAAAGCCCATAAGTTATACATGAGGTGATCATTGTCATCGTTTACCCTGTTGTTCAGCTGTAAGAAATAGAAGCGGTTTCTAAAATAGAAATTTCAGGTTGGTCAGGGCTAAAACTCCCACCTGCTAATGTGGGGATGTCGTCAATCTTGCAACCTTTACCTAGTTAAACCACCGGGTGTCAAACTTGCATACTATGTAAAGGTGCTGGTCATATAATTAGAATATCTTCATAAAGTCGATCCGTTTCACTAATTCCATTCAAGAAGGGAGACTTGTATATCTGTGGCACTGCTCGCGTGTAATGAGAGCCCAGGGTGTTCTGACAGTGGCCTTCAGTATTGTTGGGTCTGGCATATTGCATCTTCCTTTTCGCACAGTTTGAAACATTTAGCAGAATGTTTATTTGATTAAAATAAAAATTAGAAATGTCTTGTTTATAATGCCTTCTCTGTTTTAGAACATTATACAATTTCCATCACAGACTTTGAGATGTTTGGTGCAGGTTACATTTCAAATAATCAGGTAAAACCATATCACTGTCTCACATAAGTAAACGTAAACATTCCAACTAGTCATCTTGCGCTTTGTGAATGATTTTCTGCTACTTTACTGGTTGAGCTTAAGTGCATCAAATAAGAGGTGATTTTAAAGGGGGTGGGACATGTAATCCTAGAGAGTACATGATTGGTCAAGATTTGATGATAAACCAGTATGAGTTGATGTGTAAAAAAGTCTTTAAACTATTTTGGTGTAAGTAACAAACTGTTGGTGTTGAATGTTTCTATCAGTTTTATAGATATAATTTGTCACTCTTTGGAGCACACTAGCTCAGGAGTTCCCAAACTTTTCAGCCCACGGCCACTAAAATAATGCCAATAGCTGTTTCCATCCACCTATTTTTATGCGCATTTTGGATATGCACATAAACCGGTTAATGGAAACGCCATGATGCGCATAAATTTTTGAAAATACGCATAAACATATGCGCATAATGGAGTAGGATAAACTTTTTACTCTATAAAAAATTTGCATAAACCACGATGGAAACACTTTTACCTTAAAGTCTTAAAGTCTAAAATTTAAAAATCTAAATTTAAATTAAAGACGGGAATGTGCTGTTCTAGGCCTAAAATTTTTTATGATTTTAGCTGGCGGAGCGCACAAAATTTTATGAGACTCGAGCGAACAGTTCGCGCGGCGCAGCGTTTTTATTTGAGTTGATTATGAATCGATTTTGTCAAACAGGTATGACTGCATACACCTTTATGATCTAAAACTAGATCAACAATAATTCTTATAATAATACGATAGCATCACGCAGTTTGTCGGCTGAACATCCCTGATGCGAGTCTCCCGTTTCACCACATTCCAAAGGTGCTCTATTGGATTGAGAACTGGTGACTTTGGAGGCCATTTGAGTACAGTGAACTCATTGTCATGTTCAAGAAACCAATCTGAGATGATTCACGCTTTATGACATGGTGCATTATCCTGCTGGAAGTAGCCATCAGAAGATGAGTGCACTGTGGTGCCAAGACAATATCCCCCACACCATTACACCACCAGCAGCAGCCTAAAGCGCTGATACAAGGCAGGATGGATCCATGCTTTCATGTTGTTGACACCAAATTCTGACCCTACCGTCTGAATGTTGCAGCAGAAATCAAGACTCCTTGGACCATTCAATGTTTTTCCCAGTCTTCTACTGTCCAGTTTTGCTAAGCCTGTGTGAATTGTAGCCTCAGTTTCCTGTTCTTAGCTGACAAGAGTGGCACCCGGTGTGATCGTCTGCTGTAGCTCATCCGCCTCAAAGTGATATATATATATATATATATATATATATATATATATATATATATATATATATATATATATATATATATGTGTGTGTGTGTGTGTGTATATATATATATATAATTTACTTTAAAAAAAAAAAACATTAAACCTGACGCCAAACTTTTGACCGGTAGTGTATAATCATTAATCACATATCATAAAGACAACCATGTGGGATGTGTTTAGAGTTTGTGTGTTTTTTGGCAATGATTTCTGCTGAGTCACTATGCCCTATGAACAGAACTGGAGTAAGGACTGATTAAAGGCCAATCCATGAAACATGAGGAAAGTCAAAGAATAAAAAGTAAAAGTAATGCCACCAAAAAAAGAAATGTTGACTGCAAAAATTACAGATAATGGCAATTAAAACAGGTTTAATTTCTCACCAGTGAAATGTAGGGAAATGAGGTTTAGGAAATTATTCTTGAAACATTAAATGACACAAAAAAAATGTAAGGTGACAAAAATGAGCAAAAACTGTGTTTGTTTTATTGGGGGAAAAACATGTGGTTTTCATTTATAGTTTAATCAGAATTTATATACATTTGGGTTTGAAAATTATATTTGTTTGCCAAATAAGCTTGAAGATACAGAATCAATTTAATCAAGTTATATGGTTAGAAAATATTAAATTACCGCAATTCTCATCAGATAACTGTTTAGATCTGTTGAGTGAGACATTTATTAAACTGTAATTAATTGTTTGCCACTATTTTGTCAGGTGGACTATTCTGTGGACTATTTTGCATCCTCCTCCTTTTTTGGAAGTAAACCTCCTGTCATCCTGGCCAACTCTTCCTTTGTCTTGTCTGCGAAGTGATTGATACCAACACTGTATGTAAGACCAGCTCTGTTGTTGGAGTGCACAAACCTGAAGAGGAAGGAAAAAACATAATAAAATCAAACAAGTTCAGATATTTCTATTTTTCTTCAATGTGATGTTAGCTGTTATTCATCACCTGAAAGTATGCAGGAAGAGGTTCTCTCGTTCCTCATGCTCCTTCTCACTTTCATACTGACGATTAAACTTCTCCTTAAAGGGGCCAAACATCCGGTGGGCGTGGCTAACAGGGTGGGTGTTGACATAGTCTTGGAAGGGATTGGCTAATATTTGATGCTCCTCAGGAGGATCAGGAAACTCTTCACAGGTAAATCCTAAACACACAACACCTCAGTCAACATTTAATAGGATGATCTGTACACAGAGGCAGACAAAAGCATTTCTCTGAGTGTGTGTTTTCTCCATGTTACCTGCAGGTGGAGTGAAAACATCAGGCTCAGATTGTGTGCAGAAGTCACTGTACTCAATGCTGTATTTGTCATTGTGGGATCCCAGAAGAGAGTTGAAGCCCTCCATCTCAAAGCGGTGTGGTGTGGCTGGAGAATAAGCTGCCTCTCCACGTGTGACCCACAGACGGTATGTGTTCTTCTTATGGCCAGCCTCTGTGACTTTTTTCCAGACCTCACATTGAGCATCTTTGCAATCCTCCATTTTCTCAAACTGCAAAACAAACAAAGATTTTATACACATTTAATTTTTTTGCATTGCAGATCATTCAGTTTATTCTTTATTTAAATTCGTCCTATTGTTTATAACATAAAACAGGTTCAGACAGCCTTTTGTTTTTTGCTATTTCTGCACATATTTCATTATATATATTTTATTTATTCTGAATAGTTTTGAGAGTTTAGGAGCTAAAAGTTGAACACAAAAAACTAACAACTTTCATTAAGTGTTAAGAATGCAAAATCAATTAGAAACAGTGTTGTGGAAAGTTACTTTTGAAAGTAATGCATTACATTATGTCCTCCACAACAAAATAGCTAGTGCTACTTGGTTATTTGTTATGGTAAGTTATGCTTTACCTTACATTTGAGTTACTTTTCTGTTTGTTTTTCTGATCTGGCTGAGGCTCTTTCAGAACTTTCAGGGTTTTTTCTTCTTTTTTTAATTAGAGGATCTCTACAATTAACAACCCACTGTATAACCTGCACCAAGCGTTCTCAAACTCTGTCCTGGAGGTCCGATGTCCTAAAGATTTTAGCTCCGACTTGCTTTAACACACCTGCAAGGATGTTTCTAGAAAGCCTAGTAAGAGCTTGATTAGTTAGTCCAGGTGTGTCTGACTTGGGTTAGAGCAAAAGGATCTGCAGGACACCGGACCTCCAGGACCGAGATGAAGAACCCCTGACCTACATCTTTATTTACCTTTCAAGAGTTCACACTTAGCTGGTGATTTAACATAAGCTTGTTTGGCATGCTAACCCGGTAGAGAGCCCTGAGCTCAAGGGATCCTCAAGCTCAGGGCTCCCTCCCATTCATAAAGCAACAGGGGAGCTTGATCTTAGGTTGATCTCAAACTCCCTGGCTGCGGTAGCCAAGGAAACACTTGAGGAGGAAGGGAGTTAGACGAGTGCCTGAATTGCTTAATCCAGGGGTGTCCAAACTCGGTCCTGGAGGGCTGGCGTCCTGCAGATTTTAACTCCAACTTTCTTCAACACACCTGCAGGAATGTTTCTAGTACGCTGAGTAAGAGCTTGATTAGCTAGCCCAGGTGTGTCTAATTGGGGTTGGAAATAAACTTTGCAGGACACCGGCCCTCCAGGACCGAGTCTGGACATCCCTGGCTTAATATGAAACCGGAGGACATGGGGGAAACCCACGAGGACATGGGGAGAATATACAAACTCTGCACAGAAACACCCAACAGCCTGGCGAGGACCAGGGCTGGCAGTGTTCTTGCTGTAGGGCAACAGTGCTTATCACTGGGCCGCCGGGCCGCCCAATCTATGAAAAGGAGAAGGCAAAGGAAAAGGGGAGTTTCTTCCATACGAAGATAAATGTGGACTGAAAACTGTGGTTATTTATTGTAAATGAGGAATCATATGATTGGGTGATCTTGATTAGTTAATGCCAAATCTCCAAAGGTTTACGTTTTTTAGTTACAAATAGCCTACTGATGTTTTGCTTTTATATTTTACTTTAGGCTATTATTTGAGCATGAACATATCTAGATATAGTAATAAACATACAGTTTGTATGAAAACTACATTTTTTGTCATCCCTCCTGCAAACTTATATTAGCGGTAACATCACTAAATGTGGGGAGGGGGCTTATAATATTTTCCAGGGGTAAAGGGGGGTCTCAGGCAAAAAAAAGTTGGGAACCATTGCATATAAATGACATAAAAATATTACTTTTCAAATTGTTTGTAGATAAATCATCTAAACACTTACAAAAATATCCATTAATGTTAGTGAAATTCATATAAAAACTGAAAAAATATATATGTAATTTTACACAATTAAATAAAATGATTAAATAATTTGGTGTGGGCCTACATATTGACTAGCATTGTAAACAAATACTTCATAATGAAAATAAATTAAAGTACTACACACTTCAAAGCTCTGCGCATCAGGGATTGCTTGCTGTGGCTCTATTGGATCATCTTTAGTTCCTTTAAGCTGGAAACACTTAATAACACTGGGAGGAATGACTGGTGTGATCTTGTAAATGGCACCAAAATCCAAATCATTTCCAATCTGAAAGGTGCGCACTGTGCTATTACGATAGTCAATGCGACTTCTGTTCCCATCAAGATCGTACCAAGCTTCAAACGGCTCCTCTATCTTAGAATGAGGCAAAGACAGCACACCTGTATAAAAGAGATACACGTAAAACACTGAAAAAGAAGTGCACTGTACTGGGGTGAACTATATAAGGCAGAAATATACCTTTGACATGATACATCTTTCCAAAATCAGGAAATGTTCTGCCAAGAACTGGTGTGGCATCTAGAAAACAGAAAGAGTTCACACTCATTTAATCACCACTGCTTTAACTAAGACAAAAACATATGATTGCATACTTGCATTACATTTAGCATGCCTCAGCTACTAAATCACTAGATTAACAGTCTTAAAATTGTGTTTTATTTGACATAGACAACACTTTACCTGCAGCACACACCAGAACCACAAACCCAGCTAGAAAAATCCACATTGTGTAGTCTACAGCAACCAGACACATCCACTGAAGATAGACAGAAGCTTGTATTCGCATTGACTTTATATAACACCAGGGTCCAGTGTGGCGTAAAGGGGCAGATCAATATTTATTGAACCATGATATATTATCATTGTTTACTTTTTGTATCCTTGACATGATTCACAAAGAAAACAAATCAGTCTCCTAAATAATTTATTGCTTAATAAATAAACACTGCATGAATATGTGTAACACCATACAGTGTATTCTTAAGAAACCCTTCAGACATATGCTGGCAGTGGATAGAAGTTGTTGTCTGTGTGGAAGAAAATCCTGAAAGTAGTTTAAGTAAGAATTTCATAGAAACGTGAAGAAGAGATTGAGTTAGTGTGATATAAGGGTCCAATGTGGAGGTGGTCAAATATTTATTGAACTGGTACAAGGTCCATGTTTGATCCTCTTAGTTGAGAATACATCTATTTTTCTCTACTTGCAAAATGCCCCTGAGCAAAATCACTGGGGAAAAAGGCCAGTTGAAGTTAAATCCAGAATTAAGCCAAACTCACACTGTGCAATATTTAATAGTCCTTTACTATTGCAGCTTGTCAGACTGTACAAACATGACATAAAGTGGCTACATATATTAGTTGGCTGAAGCAATTGTTTAAATGATTTAAATATTAATTTAAAAACTGAACAGCTTGACTTTGTGAAGTTTTGGTACATGAAACGCCTGCAGAAAACAGCTGACAGGCTGAATAAAATTATTAATTATGCCAATTCATTCTCTGCCAGTAGGTGGCACATCCACACATGCAATCATGTGGAAATATTTATATACACAACTAACTGTATATATGTTTGAAAATTGTATTTTGTATGTTTGCTAGAGTGTTATTTGGGTGTTAATGCACGCATCAAGTTTATATTCATGTGCTAGAGTTTATAGGCACAGGGGTGTAAAGTAACAAGTTACAGGTTTGCCAGGTCAGCTGGTTCACTGACCCACCCTGACCCCCAGCTCTCCCAAGAAGAGGTTTCTTCACATTCTCTCCATGTGCCACACTGACATACTCAACACATGAGCCGGAAGGTCCAGTCCATAGACATTCATTTTATAGCTTAGTCGATTAATATTCTTTCAAAGCTTGAACCTTATCATCATTTTAAAGTTCAACGTTGACATATCTGCATATAAGAGAGACATTCAAATATGTGCTATGCTGTTTATCCTTTAAAATGCAAACCTCTGTAGCTATCATTTACTAACCTTGCTGTAATTCATTTTTGAAAAGTTTGACTTCAACCGTCCTAATGCTTAATCTTTCTGTTATTAACAATATATCAAGAAAAATAACTGAAATTAACCTTTTGTAAGTTGTTTATATCATAGTATAGTATATTTGTATGGTGTATGGAGTATGAAAGAGCAAGTGTTTGAGTGTAAAAGAAGCTTTGCACGCCTTCCTTTGTTCTGAGCTGCTTATTTTTTTATTTTCTCAAACACAATAAACATAGTAAATGTATTTACACACACACACACACACACACACACACACACAAACACTATAGTCTGCTGTTTTGCTCCATAGACATCCATATGAAAGCCAGAAATGTTTTTGCACAGGCCTATCTAAAGGGTTAATGTTGTCAACTGATGATTAACAGTATAAATGACAAAAGAGGGAAAAACCACCAGTAAACAAGAATGCATGATTATATGCTGTCATGGCTTTGCAATAGAATGGAAACCAACAGGGCACAAACAGCCACCAACATAAAAAATGGGCAGTCAGTTTGAACAGTACACAATTTATCACTTTATTTTTATCACAACATAATACATAAGTCACTTTTTTCACGTAATAGTGATATTATATATATATATATAATTTACCTATAAAACATTTACCTAGTTTTTCAGTCAGTTTAGATAACCAACAATGACATTTTAACAGTACTTTCTTGTTTCTGCCCTTGACCAATCGGCGCGGTCATTGATACCAACGGTGAATGACAAACCTTTTCTGTTAGTAGAGTTCACAAACCTGAGGAAGATATAAAATAAAAACAGCTTATTTAGAAATCACATTTTTCTATTTAAATCAGCTGAAAAAGACAGGTAATAGGACTGCACAAAATTGAAAAATTAACATTTTGTTAGTTCACAGGGAGGTGCTGCAAATTACATTTCACGTGCCAAGCATGCTTAAGTTGTCTATACAAATTTTTCCAATCAGATGAAGTCTTACTAGATTTATAGCTGCCTCCCAAATACTATTATTCTATTGCCTTGACCGGGCTCAAAGAGGAACCTAGTGAACCTCAAGGAAGAATATAACTGGAAATAAATGGTAATGCAGGAGTAGAGAAAAGAGAGAAAAATGCCAACAGTGAATCAGAATCTAAAATTCTTTTGGTTTTCAGTCTTTTGCAGTGTTTTAAAGTTTAAATATCTGCAGAGTTTTTTTGTTTTTGTTGCCTGTATTAGATTTAGTTAATTCTGGAAAAAAGAAATCTCACTTTATTTGCTTAGTTCCTAGAAAAAAATATCTGTTGATTTCAGTTTGATCATTACATACATTATTAGCTATAAAACGGAGCATCTCTCAAGGGAAATACTGAATCACAAGACATTTCATTATTAAAGTACTCCACAACAATATTTCATATTTTACATGCATCACAGGGTCCTATCAGGTAAGGCAATACTCACTATAAGATGCACCTGAATCACTGTTTAACACTGTGGCAATAAATTCTGCTTTGCTTTTAAGATATTTGCTTTGTTGAATCATTTATAGAAACTAAACGTATAATTGAGGTTCATCTATAACAGGGGTTGCCTGCCAATCTCGGTTCTGGAGGGCCGGTGTCCCTGCAGGGTTTAGCTCCAACTTCCTCAACTCACCTGCTTGGATGTTTCAAGTATACCTAGTAAGACCTTGATTAGCTTGCTCAGGTGTGTTTGATTAGGGTTGGAGCTAAAATCTGCAAGACACCGCCCCTCCAGGAACAAGTTTGATGACCCCTGATCTACAAAATGCCATTACTAAATCTCTTTTTTCTCACCTAAAAGATTGTACAAAGTTGATTTCACGCTTCTCGTGCTCCTTCTCGCTTTTATACTGTCGATTAAACTTCTCCTTAAAGGGGCCAAACATCCGGTGGGCGTGGCTAACAGGGTTGGTGCTGACATAGTCTTGAATGGGATTGGCTAATATTTGATGCTCCTCAGGAGGATCAGGAAACTCTTCACAGGTAAATCCTAAACACACAACACCTCAGTCAACATCTATTAGGATGATCTGTACACAGAGGCAGACAAAAGCATTTCTCTGAGTGTGTGTTTTCTCCATGTTACCTGCAGGTGGAGTGAAAACATCAGGCTCAGATTGTGTGCAGAAGTCACTGTACTCAATGCTGTATTTGTCATTGTGGGAATCTAGAAGAGTGTTGAAGCCCTCCATCTCAAAGCGGTGTGGTGTGGCTGGAGCATCATTTCCCTCTGGACGTGTGACCCACAGACGGTATGTGTTCTTCTTATGGCCAGCCTCTGTGACGGTTTTCCACACCTCACACCGTGAACCTTTGTGATAATCCATCTTCTCAAACTACAAAACAAACAAAGATTTGATGCTATCCCATTATGCACATTTTTATTATCACACAATCTCTCAAAACAAAATCACATTACTTTTTTAGTCTAGCCGTGTTTTTACCTTTGTTTGTTTATATTATTTGTTTGTTTTGCCGCATGCCTCGACCATTCGCCTGTTTTATCGACTACTCTTGTGGATTATCTTCATGCTACCGTTTGTCCCCGTTTGAACCTTTCCAGACTGAACATTCTAATAAATCTGCATTTGGATCCTGCCTTGTAGTCAACACCATCAACAACCATGGCTGATCAGTGGATTCGACAACATCACTGAAATAACGTTCATTATATGCGCAAATTTTTTTTATAATTGTAGAATAAATATTCTGTTGGGTTTCACAGAAGGATCATATACGTTTAAATGACATAAGAGTGAGCAAAAGTTGAGAATTTTTTTCATTTCTGGACATACCTCAAATCCCTGTACATCAGGCATTGCTGACTGTGGCTGTATCGGTTCCTCTTTGGTACCTTTAAGCTGGAAACACTTAATATCATTGGTAGGAAGGACTGGTCTGATTTGATAAATGGCCCCATAATCCAAGTCATTTCCAATCAGAAATGTGCACACTGTACCTTTATATAGAGAGCATCAATGAGGAAATCCTACATACATTCAATACTGTGTAAGCTTTTGATGATCAACAAACTGACCATTATAGTAGTCGATTCGACTTCTGTTCCTCTCAAAGTCGTACCAAGCTTCAAAAGGTTCTTCTATCTCATAGGAAGGCAATGAAATCACACCTAAATAAAAGAGAGACACTTTAAAAACAAACACTCTATTGGGATGTTCTGTGTAATTAGGATTATATTATACCTTTGACATGATACATCTTTCCAAAATCAGGAACTGTCCTGTCATCATCTGGTTTGACTTCTGATGAAGAAAACAGAGAGAGATTATATTCATTTATTCAACTTTTCCTGAATTAAGAAAACACACATACTATTGCATACTTTATTTAAAGTTAAAATCTCTTGACAACTTGGTCACAGCTTAGTCACAAAGTTTAACGAATGTCATGGGGGCAGTACACTTTCAAAAGGTACACACCTAAAAGGGTCTGTATTGATATAAATTATTACCTAAAAGTACCAAAAATTAATTGAATTTAATAGGTACTTAATGTGTCTTTGAGGTACCAGAATAACCCCAATATGGTGTAACTTTTTAAATAGAACCGTCCCAGTGACAGCATCTTGAGCTCAGTAAAGTTGATTTTAGGTTTGATTTTTGCAGGGCATTTGCTTATAAAGCTTTAGGGATCATCTGTAAATTATATAGACAGAACCAATATGTGAATTAAGTAACGCAGCACATAATGATTTCTAGAAGCTTCCAATAAATGTCTAGAGGCCAGACCGACTTAATAATGGTAAGATATTGGCAACATCTCTCTCCATAAGTATACAATTAAAATATATACTTCAAATATTGAGTACCTAAATGTTATTTTGCAAAGGTTGTATTTCACTCTAAGAAGCTAGACTGACTTACTAGGCTACAGCTATCATTTCCCCAATATTTCCCTTCATATATGTACTGTAAACAAATAATTTTGAAAAATATTTTCCATAATTCACCTAAAAGTAATTTACTCTACAGGTTAAATCACATACCCAGAGACTTACTACAGATAAGATTTTTTTTACCAAGATCTCCCTTCATATCTGTTCTGAGTCTAGTCTTATGTGCAACAACCAAGCTATTTTTTTTTTGACATATTGAGTACTGCAAAATTGTGTGTCCTAAGATAAGTTAGATTAGATAAGTGTTCTATGTGTAATGAACTGTTCTTGTACTGCTTGTTTAACATATAGCTACTCTTGCGTAGCGCATCAGTCCAGTGTCTTTAAGCCTTTAACTAAATTTTTCATAATCTCACAATTTATTTTGTTCCATGATTATTATTTCTATTTTGTACCATCAGTTTGCACATCCACACACGTTTTAACAAGCAGTACAGAATTTACAGACGGTCCCCTACAGATCATGCGCCGACAGCTCGTCAGTAAACATGCAAGTACACAACGCGTGTGCTGTTTTAAATGGAGATTCTTGTAGATCCTTAACACATGTGTTAGTTATTAGTAAAACTAACTGTGTTGTACATATTTTTATAACTACAGAACTTGCGCGGATATCGAATAGCAAGCCAATATTCAACCTAAAACTAACTTTACCGAGCTCTGCTGGCTTACATTTATCTCTGATATGTCGTTCACTGTTTTGTTGTCAGACTGAACGGTAATTATTGCTAAATCTTGTGTATGCCAAAGTGTATAGAAGATACTTTAGTAAAGTGTATTTTTATAAAACGCAGCGTCCCGTGTCTTCACTGCGCCATTTATAGTTACACAAATCCCAGACTATCTGTCTAATACATGCTAATTTTCTTAGTATAACGTTAAAATAGCATCAAATGAGTTTCAGTACATACATATGCGTATAAAGGCTTGAATAATCAATGTTAATTACATGGATAAAAACTAATAAAAAAAACAGTTACTTGTCATCTTCTGCGCCATCCTCTGCAGTAATCAGAATTGAAGCGTCTTTCACTGTCAGAACTACCGCAACATCTATTATAGAGTAGGAAAGTGGACACGAAGTCCTATTTATAGCCTTCTGGGAGTCTGGAAACTGATAGATGACTTTGATTCCGGGTTGTGTGTGTCATGTTGGAAGTTATTTTACACTTTAATAGTTGCGTCATCTTATCTTGTATTGTTTATAAATGTTTCCCTATTTTTTTATAACTAGAGTAGTATTTTGTGGGGTGAAATGATTAAATGTACATGATGGATAGTGTTTTTAATCACTAGTTAATATTCATTACATTTGGGTTTGAGCAGAATTCAGCAAGTAAAAAGTTAATTTCACATTTTTAAAATTATTTTCATAGCTGATGTTTTCATTTTGTGCTTTGGAGGGTCATTTGCAGAAAACAATGATTATTTATGAACATAAAAATGAAATTAAATAGGATCAAGCAGATAATAGTAGGATTATAGTTTGGAAATTTCTGCCAACAGGAGGAGAGAGAACCATTTAAGCTTGTGTAGCATGTATGCTGATGATTCAGCTTTTTTATTGGGTGCTGTGTGAGCAAATGTACTCTTTCATTATGTTATTGTCTGTTTTTGCCTCATTGACTACCATTATAACAACATTTTATATATAAAGCAATGACACCTTATAACCCTGGATTCTCTATTGATGGTGGTTTTCCCCATTGGCAACAGGTCAAATGTGTCATTTTTACTGTTAATCATCAGCTACAGTGCAAAAAAAGGTTTTTAGTTTCAGTCTTTTATATGGTGTATAGAGGGTGTGTGTGTGTGTGTGTGTGTGTGTGTGTGTGTGTGTGTGTGTGTGTGTGTTAACCTTGACATGTTTGAGAAAATCAAAATTAGCAGCTCAACTCTCAGAACATGGTGAATATAGTAAGTGTATTCATGCATGCACAATATAATCTGCTGTTTTACTCTATAGAACTCTGTATAAAAGTTAGAAACTGTTTTGCACAGGCCTATTGTGAGGGGTAATGCTGATAACTTATGATCAACAGTAAAAAAAATACACAATTTAGCTCTTCCCAACAGGGAAAACCACAATCAAGAATGCTCTCATGACTTTGCAGTCAAAATGTTGTTATAATGAAAGTCAATGAGAAAAAAACAGCCCTGAACATAACAAAAGGATAGTCAGTTTGAACAATACACAAGGGTTAAACAGCATTTGATTCACAGATTTTTTTTTACTCTCTTAAATGCATATGTGTCTTTCTGTTTAGATAATCTCAAGTGAATGTCTCTGCTGTGAATAAACTCTTTCCTGCAAAGAGAAACTTGTGGTGCGTACTGTATGCTTGTAGTGGTATATGAGGATGAACAGGTTTTGTTGTGTCTTTACAAATATGGAGTGATTGATGATCATTTCAACTCACTATAGATGCACTGAAATGAAATCTTCTTCTGCTGTTCAGTTGTAGAACTGTGACTTGCCTAAGAACTTCACTTAAGCTGCAGAGTATATCACTAAATGATTGCAATAATAGTACATGCAATATACATTTCACAAACGTGTGATAAATTACATGTATTTTATGCATTGGTTATTTAAATTTGACCAATTAGATGTGGACGTATCATTTTTATCCTCAATTTCTGAATAGATGCTGTTCTGTTATTGGCTGGAGCGGCCCAAAGCTGAACCCAGAGCTGAGAAAACACGAGAGTCGAGACGAGAGAGGACAATTAATGAATGACAGTTTATTCATATAGCACAATTAAAGACAACTCAAGTTGACCAATGTGCTTCACAAAACTAAAACAACAAGAGTAAGTCAGAGACAAAATCAATTAAAAAATAAAAACAACAACAATAGTCAAAGTCAGGATATCCGCTGCACTAACCCTAACCCTGACTCAGTTTTTTAGTCTAAACTAGAATAATTAGATCTGAATTATTTCTATTACATGTTTAGTTTAATGTCATTAAACAAATCATTTATAATCATAGCTAATAGCTCACAAAAATAGCATGTTTTCTATCGAAATGTTAAATAAGAAATATGATTATGGCAATACTCAAAAACAGTATTGCACAGTTTTCCAGTATTATATGCAGCTCTAGTTATTATTAATGTGGACATTCTAAATATAGCACAGCCAGTTTAAAGCATGATTTGCAACAGACATTGTTGTTATTCTTTGGTGATTTTACCCAAATGCCCTTTATCTTTTGTATATATACACAACAACACCTTGACGTTTCATAAGTTAGTAGAAATAAATGTGTTATTTTTTATCATAATAGCTTAATAATACATATATCACTTAAGAGTGATATTTATTTACCTAGGTTTTCAGTCACAGCTTAGATAACCAATGGAATTTTAGACTTTCTTGTTTCTGCTCTTGACCAGTCCGCTCGTTTATTGATACCCACGGTGAATGACAGACCTTTTCTGTTCGTAGAGTTCACAAACCTGAGGAAGATGTAAGAAAACAACTTAATTTACAAAATCACATTTTTCTATTTAAATCAGAAGTTTTAAATACATTTTTTAAATAAAAAGTTATGACAGATAATAGAGCTGCACAATATTGACAACTTTACATTTTAATATTAGTTTGGCAGGGAGGTGCTGAAAATATTTTTATCAAAAATGACAACCGTGAATCAGAATCAACGATTCTCCCAAGGTTTTCAGTCATTCATCGTGTCTTTTTTTTGTTTGTTTTTTTGTAAATCTTGCACGTTTGCATGTTTTTGTTTAGCTGGAATTAGATTCACTTGAAAATTCTCACTTTCCTTAGCCCCAAGAAAAAAATATCTGTTAATTTAGTATAATCCTTATATACATTATTGGCAGATTATGTATCACAGCACATAGCACATTATGGATCACAGGGTCCTATCAGGTAAGGTAATACTCGCTATAAGATGCACCTGAATCACTGTTTAACACTGTGGCAGTGATTTCTACTTTGCTTTTAAGATATTGTTTTTATCCATCACTATATAAACAATGGAGCATTGACTCTGCTTTACTGAATCATTTATAGATACTAAAAGTAACACAATTATTGTTCATCTTCAAAATGCCATTACTCCATCTCTGGTAAAATGTGTTTTTTCCTCACCTAAAAGATTGTACAAAGTTGATTTCACGCTCTTGGTGTTCCTCCTCGCTTTTATACTGTCGATTAAACTTCTCCTTAAAGGGACCAAACATTCGGTGGGCGTGGCTAACAGGGTTGGTGCTGACATAGTCTTGAATGGGATTGGCTAATATTTGATGCTGCTCAGGAGGATCAGGAAACTCTTCACAGGTAAATCCTAAACACACAACACCTCAGTCAACATCTATTAGGATGATCTGTACACAGAGGCAGACAAAAGCATTTCTCTGAGTGTGTGTTTTCTCCATGTTACCTGCAGGTGGAGTGAAAACATCAGGCTCAGTTTGTGAGCTGAAGTCACTGTACTCAATGCTGTATTTGTCATTGTGGGAATCTAGAAGAGTGTTGAAGCCCTCCATCTCAAAGCGGTGTGGTGTGGCTGGAGCATCATTTCCCTCTGGACGTGTGACCCACAGACGGTATGTGTTCTTCTTATGGCCAGCCTCTGTGATGGTTTTCCAGACCTCACACTGAGCACCTTTGCAATCCTCCATCTTCTCAAACTACAAAACAAAGATTTTATGCCGTAACATTGTATATTTTCGTTAATACACAATCTCTTAAAACAAAATCACTTTACTTTTTTGATGCTGGAATTTATTGTGTAAATGGGTTTCGATCATAGTTTCTGTGCATCTTGTCATTGGCATTAAGAATTTTTTATGCGATTTTCTAAAATACAAATAGGCTGATGAAAACATGTAATGATCACCATCTAATGATCATTCTACCGAACTACAACTCTCATCATGCCCTGCAGTCACACACCTGTTTCAGTTTACCGCACCTCATCATGACTGCTTGCATGAACCATAGATACACCACTCACACACTCATCCCGGGCTGAGTCTTGTTTCCCCTGTAGTGAGCATTTTTGTCTGTTTGTTTTGACGCATGCCTCGACCATTTACCTGTTTTATCAACTACTCTTGTAGATTATCTTCATGCTACCGTCTGTCCCTGTTTGAACCTTTCCTGTCTGAACATTCTGATAAAAGCTGCATTTGGATCCTGCCCTTGTAGTCAACACTATTGTAGAGGTTAAGCCTATTGCTTGTAGTCCCTGAGATGCTGTTAGACAGGAACTCAGATGATGCATGCTGTCATTTGGCTAATGAAGTGTAAACGCAATGAACAGTCTTGTTTCCATAGATATTTAGGTTTATTGCAGTTGCAAACTCCAATAGTTAACAAGTTTCCTTCCAGGTAAGTTTCCTGTCATACACATTAAACACTGCCACATATCGTGACTTACGAACCAACAAAACAAACCATCACGCTAAAGCGTGAAAGTATGTGTGTGCATATGTGTGTGCGTTTGTTTGTGTGCGAGTGTGTGTGTGGTCAAAACTGCATGTCCTCACTGCTCCCTTCCGTCTAGCAACATCCGTCACCTGAATATTCGTTCCCACTTTTAAAGCCTGTTAAAAGAGCACCACCTAGTGGAACAATGAACAGTTGCCAAATGGCTCCTACAACTATTAATAACCACGGCTGATCAGTGGATTCCACAACAACAACACTGGAATAACGTTCATTATATGCGCAAATATGTATAATTGTAGAATTAATATTCTGTTGGGTTTCACAGAAGAATCATATATGTTTAAATGACATAAGAGTGAGCAAAAATTGAGAATTTCTTTCATTTCTGGACATACCTCAAATCCCTGTACATCAGGCATTGCTGACTGTGGCCGTATCGGTTCCTCTTTGGTACCTTTAAGCTGGAAACACTTAATATCGCTGGGAGGAAGGACTGGTTTGATTTGGTAAATGGCCCCATAATCCAAGTCATTTCCAATCAGAAATGTGCGCGTTGTACCTGTATATAGAGAGCACCAATGAGGAAATCCTACATACAAACTACAAACATTCAATACTGTCTGAGTTGATGATCAACTAACTGACCATTATAGTAGTCGATGCGACTTCTGTTCCCCTCAAAGTCGTACCAAGCTTCAAAAGGTTCTTCTATCTCATAGGAAGGCAATGAAATTACACCTAAATAAAAGAGAGACACTTTAAAAACAAGCACTCTACTGGGATGTTCTGTGTAATTAGGCAGAAATGTACACTACCTGAAAGTCTTGTCACCTATCCAAGTTTAGGAACTTGACTTCTAGTTGATCACTTGGTGTGAGAAGTGGCTTATATGAAAGGCAAAGGCCTCTAGATTACGCTTATTTTACCAAAATAAAATTTGATCATCCCTTGATTTCTAATGATTTAATTAGGACAGTAAGTTCTGACTTTGCTTAGACAAAAGTCTTGTCACTTAACAGAAATATTGTCCAGTATAGAATATAAAGTCATGCTGCAGTGGGAAAGGAATAAATGTTATGTATGACTCCCATGAGCTTGGAGGACTGCATCCATACATCTCTGCAATTACGCATTAATAAAGTCATCTGGGGCCTCAGTACAAAGACTTGCATTCAATTCATACTAAAGCATTGTGTACAGACAAAGCTGTAAATGTGTGTACACAGTAAAAAATTCAGATGTATGAAACACTGCATACTTGGAATCCCACGCACATTCTCTTTGTACATCAGAAACATTAACGTGAAACTGAGAGCACGTGCACGAGCGCAAAACCACTCCCTGCCTCCTCCCCTGTATTAATATGGCAATGACTGGAGGTGCTCCTATCTGAGGTAGACCGGAGAAAAACTGTGTTATTTGCAAGTTTGTCCACAGGAAATAAAAACAAAAAAATAAAAAATAGAGTGGGAGAGTTTAAGGTGTAAAGGTGCAGGTTAAGAGGAGAACAGCGGCGCACCGCCAAAGTGTGGACCGAACAGGCGGGGGAACAGGGGATGCTGAACTAACACCCTTTAAGGAGAGAGTTGCCTCAATTTTGGGTGACACTTTACTGTCTGGAGTAGTATCTGTGTCTGTGGGAGACACAGTTGTATTAGAGCAGGGGTCACCAATCCTGGTCCTGGAGGGTCGGTGTCCCTGCAGGGTTTAGCTCCAACTTGCCTCAACACACCTGCTTGGATGTTTCAAGTATACCAAGTAAGACCTTGATTAGCTTGTTCAGGTGTGTTTGATTAGGGTTGGAGCTAAAATCTGCAGGACACCGGCCCTCCAGGAACAAGTTTGGTGACCACTGTATTAGAGGAACACCTTGTTAGGGCGTTATAGCAGCACCCCTCTGCTCCTATCAAGACAGTCCCACCGGCATTTCAGCTGCCCAATCACATTTGAGCATCACATGTTATCACATTATTTGCACATTTATTGAATGTAAAAGTTTCTGATTCACGTATGCAACGCACCTTCTCATGTTAATTTCATTTTTAGTAAATCCAAACGTGAGCGTGAAATCTGGTGTATGCAAAGTTTTTGTGCGTACGCAGCGTTGATACATGAGGCCCATGCAATGGCAAAGAAAGCGTACTTGCAGGACTCCCAGAGTTCATCAAGATTCTTTGGATTCATCTTCAATGCCTCCTCCATCTTACCCAAGACATGCTCAATAATGTTCATTTCTGGTGACTGAGCTGGCCAATCCTGGAGAACTTTGACCTTCTTTGCTTTCAGCAACTTTGATGTGGAGGTAACAGGTCTTCTGCAGTATGTGTGATGATTGGGATGCAGTTCAACAGATGATTCATCTGAAAAAATCCACCTTCTGCCACTTTTCAAATGATTAACTAGAAGTCAAGCTATTATTTGTTACTCTTACAACTGGGATCGACTGGTAGTGTACCTTTGACATAATACATCTTTCCAAAATCAGGAACTGTCCTGTTACCAGCTGGATTGACATCTGAGAAAGAAAACAGAGAGAGATTCACTCATTTATTCATTCATTCCTTTTCTTTTTGGCTTAATCTCTTAATTAATCTGGGGTCAAAACAGCGGAATGAACCACCAACATATCCAGCATATTTTACGCTGTGGATGCCCTTCCAACTGCACCCATCTCTGGGAAACATCCATACACACTCATTCACACTCAAACACTACGGAAAATTTAGCCTACCCAATTCACCTTTACGGCATGTCTTTGGATTGTGAGGGAAATCGGAGCACCCGGAGAAAACCCACGTGAACGCAGGGAAACATGCATACTCCACACAGAAACCCCAGCTGACCCAGCCGAGGCTCAAACCAGCGACCTTCTTGCTGTGTGGTGACAGCACTACCTACTGCGCCACCGCGTCACCCACAGAGAGAGATTATATTCATTTTTCAACTTTACTTGAAGTAGGAAAACACACATACTATTGCATACTTCATTTATAGTTAAAATCATTACAGTAAATGTGACTCAGCGACTTAGTCACAAGTTCAACAATACACTCTCAGAAATACGGTACGAAAAATGCTACAGGGGCAGTACACTTTCAAAAGGTACCATATTGATATAAATTATTACCTAAAAGTTTTTATAAAATCCTTTGAATTTAATTGGTTCTTATACTGTTTGCGTTTAAGGTACCAGAATAACCAAAATATGGTGTAACTTTTCAAATAGAACCGTCCCAGTGACAGCATCTTGAGCTCAGTAAAGTTGATTTTAGGTTTGATGTTTGCAGGACAATCGCTTATGCAGCTTTAGGGATCATCTGTAAATTATATAGACAGAACCAAAATGTAAAGAAAGCAGAAAAACATATATTTTTAGAAAGTTACAACAAATATTTAGAGGCCAGACTGACTTAATGTAAAACACTGGCAACATCTCTCTTCATAAATATACTGTAAAATATTTTACAAGGAATATTGAGTAATTTACCTAAATGTTATTTTGCAAAGGTTGTAGTTCACTCAATGAGGCCAGACCGACTTACTAGGCTACATGTATCATTTTACCAATATTTCCCTTCATATATGTACAGCAGACAAATAATTTAGAAAATTATTTTCCATAATTCACCAAAATGTAATTTTCTCTACAGGTTAAATCACATAGCCAGAGACTTACTACAGATAAGATTTTTACCAATATCTCCCTTCATTTGTGTAGTGTCTGGCCTCATGTGCTACAGCCTTTTGAATGAGAAAATTACATTTAATTGTGCAATTGGTGAATTACTGTAAATGTGTTTCAGAAAATATGTCCACACATGTATGAAGGGGGATATTGGTAAAAAGGATAGTCAGAAAACCTGAAAGTACTATTTTTTTTCTTAACATATTAAGATAATGTCAATATGTCTTAAGTTAGTTTTCTTTATGTAAAAACTGTACATGTAATGCATGTATAACGTATAGCTACTCAAGCGTAGTGCATCACTGAAGTGTCAATGAGCCCTTCAACTAAACTTTTCATAATCTCACAATTTATTTTGTTCCATGATTATTATATTTCTATTATCTACCATCAGTTTCGACAGCCGCACACGTTTTAAGACACAATACAGAATTTATAGACGATCCCCCTGACAGCTCGTCAGTAAACATGCAGTTACAAAACGCATGTGCTGTTTTAAATGGAGATTTCTTGTAAATCTATAACACGTGTAAGCTATTTGTAAACTGTGTAGATATTTTTGTAACGACAGAACTTGCGCGGATAACGAATCAGGTCAATATACAACCTAAAACTAACTTTACCGAGCTCAGCTAACCAGCTAATATTTATATCTGATATGTCGTTGCCTGTGTTGTCGGAATAACAGGACGAAACCTTAACTGTTACTACATCTTGTGTATACCAATGTGTATAGAATATACTATAGTAAAGACTCTTTTTTTATAAAACGCAGCGTCCCGTGTCTTCACTGTGCTATTTATACATCCCGGACTAATACATGCTATTTTAACGTTATACTAGGAAATTAGCATCAAATGAGTTTCAGTACATACATATACGTATAAAGGCATGCGCAATCAATGTAAATGATATGGATAAAACTACTGAAAATCCGTTACTTGTCATCTTCTGCGCCATCCTCTGCAGTAATCAGAATTGAAGCTTCCTTCACTGTCAAAACTACCGCAACGTCTATTATAGAGTTGGAAAGTGGACACGAAGTCCTATTTATAGCCTTCTGGGATTCTGGAAACTCTTGATTTGAAATTCCGGGTTGTGTGTGTAATTTTGGAGCAACGATTGGATTAGTTATTTTACACAATAGTTTCGTCATCTTATGTTGTAGTGTAGCCTAGCCTACAATATTATACCTGTATATAGTATTTTGTGGGGTTAAATAAGTAAATGCACATGATAGATGACATTGTTGTAATCACTAGTTCATATTCATTACATCAGGGTTTGAGCAGTGTGTTGCGGGAACTACTTTGAAATATGTTCATGATGTGAAGCAGTTACAACAGATGGAAAAAATGAGATTGAATAAGCGGTAGATGTGGGATTTTGGACATTTCTGCCACCAAGAGGAGAGAGAACCATTTAAGCGTGTGTAGCATGTATGCTGACGATTCAGCTTTTTTGTGTGGTGCTGTGTGAGCAAATGTACTACTCTTATCATGTTAGTTGTTGTACCTATTGACTGCCATTATAACAACATTTTATATATAAAGCAATAGGAACCTCATTGGCAGCAGGTCAAATGTGTCATTTTTATTGTTGATCATTAGTTATAGTGCAAAAAGGCTTAGTTTCAGTCTTTTATATGGTGTATAGAGAGAGAGAGTGTGTGTGTGTGTGTTACCTTGACATGTTTGAGAAAATCAAAATTAGCAGCTGAGCTCTCAGAACATGGTGAATATAGTAAGTGTATTCATGCATGCACAATATAATCTGCTGTTCTACTCTATAGAACTCTGTATAAAAGTTAGAAACTGTTTTGCAAAGGCCTATCGTAAGGGTTAATGCTGACAATTTATGATCAACAGTAAAAAAATACACAATTTAGCTCTTCCTAACAGGGAAAACCACAATCAATCAAGAAGGACCGCTGCAGCCAATAACAGATCAATGATCAAAAGCTGAACCCAGGGCTGAAAAAACACGAGAGTCGAGACGAGAGAGGACAATTAATGAATGACAGTTTATTCATATAGCATAATTAAAAACAACTCAAGTTAACCAATGTGCTTCACAAAACTAAAACAACAAGAGTAAGTCAGAGACAAAATCAGGGAAAAAAATACAAAGAATAAAAGAAAAAACAACAATAGTCAGAGTCAGGATATCTGCTGCACTAAACTTGACTGAATTAGAAATAATTAGATCTGAAATATATCTATTACATGTTTATTTTAATATAATTAAATAAACAAATCATTTATAAACAAGCTAACAAAAAATAGCATGTTCAAGGGAAATATTATATAAGAAATATGATTATGGCAATACCCACAATATCAAATATTTTCCAGTATCATGCAGCTCTAGTTATTAATAAGGACAATCTAAATATAGTAGAGGCAGTTTACAGCTCAAAACAAATTGATTTGCAATAGATGTTGTTAATCTTTGGTGAATTTACCCAATTGACTTCATCTGTTTTATATACACACTACAAAAAGACACATGTCATAAGTTAGTACAATTAGGGTTTTTATTTTTAGAAACTTAATCATTTAGCGACTTAATAATTAGCACTCACCTTTTTTATTTAAAAATAAGTTTAGATAGCCAACAATGAAATTTTAGCAGTACTTTCTTTTTTCTGCCCTTGACCAGTCGGAGCGGTCATTGATACCGAGGGAGAATGAAAGACCAACTCTGTTCCTAGAGTGCACAAACCTGAGGAAGATGTAAGAAAACAACTTTATTATCAAATCACATTCTATTTAAATCAGCTGTAAAAAGAAGTTATGACAGGTAATAAAGCTGCAAAATATTAAATTTACATTTCAATTTTAGTTTCACAGGGAGGTGCTGCTAATTACATTTATTTAATGTGCTGAGGGGCGAGGTAGTGGCACAGTAGGTAGTGCTGTCACCTCACAGCAAGAAGGTCGCTGGGTCGCTGGTTCGAACCTCGACTTAGTTGGTGTTTCTGTGTGGAGTTTGCATGTTCTCCCTGGCTTCGCGTGGGTTTGCTCCGGTTTCCCCCACAGTCCAAAGACATGCGGTACAGGTGAATTGGGTGGGCTAAATTGCCCGTAGTGTATGAGTGTGTGTGTCAATGTGTGTGTGGATGTTTCCCAGAGATGGGTTGCGGCTGGAAGGGCATCCGCTGCGTAAAAACTTGCAGGATAAGTTGGCGGTTCATTCCACTGTGGCAACCCTAAATTAATAAAGGGACTAAGCCGACAAGAAAACGAATGAATGAATAATGTGCCGAGCATGCATAAGTTGTTTATAAAAATTTGTCCAATCATGTGAAGTCTTACTATCCACCTGCCTCGCTAATACTATTATTCTATTGCCTGACCGCGCCCAAAGAGGAAGAGAAGAGAATTGGAAATAAATGGTAATGCAGGAGTAGAGAAAAGAGGAAAAATGAAAACAGTGAATACGAATCAAATATTCTCCCAAGGTTTTCAGCCATTCATAATGTTTTAATATTTGCACTTTTACAGGTTTTTTTTTAGCCTGAATTAGAGTTAATTAATTCTGAAAATTACTTTCCTTCAGATTAGTTCCTAAAAGAAATATCTGTTAATTTCAGTATAATCATTACACACATTATTAGCTATAGAACAGAGCATCTCTCTAGGGAAATATTGAATCGCAAGGCATATCATTATTAAAGTACTCAACAACATTGCATATTTTACATGCATCACATGTAAGGTAATGCTATAAGATGCATCTGAATCACCGTTTAACACTTTGGCAGTGATTTCTGCTTTGCTTTCAAGATATTGTTTTTATCCATCACTATATAAACAATGGAGCCTCGACTCTGCTTTACTGAATCATTTATAAATACTGAAAGTTTAATTGGGGTTCATTTTCAAAATGCTATTACTAAATATTTAGTAATATGTGTATTTTCCTCACCGAAGCGTATGAACAAAGTTGATTTCACGCTTCTCGTGTTCCTCCTCGCTTTTATACTGTCGATTAAACTTCTCCTTAAAGGGGCCAAACATTCGGTGGGCGTGGCTAACAGGGTTGGTGCTGACATAGTCTTGAATGGGATTGGCTAATATTTGTCGCTCCTCAGGAGGATCAGGAAACTCTTCACAGGTAAATCCTAAACACACAACACCTCAGTCAACATTTATTAGGATGATCTGTACACAGAGGCAGACAAAAGCATTTCTCTGAGTGTGTGTTTTCTCTATGTTACCTGCAGGTGGAGTGAAAACATCAGGCTCAGATTGTGTGCAGAAGTCACTGTACTCAATGCTGTATTTGTCATTGTGGGAATCTAGAAGAGTGTTGAAGCCCTCCATCTCAAAGCGGTGTGGTGTGGCTGGAGCATAATTTCCCTCTGGACGTGTGACCCACAGACGGTATGTGTTCTTCTTATGGCCAGCCTCTGTGACGGTTTTCCAGACCTCACACTGAACCCCTTTGCAATCCTCCATCTTCTCAAACTACAGAACAAAGATTTTATACGTCCCATTGTGCGGACTTTTAATGTACACATTTTTACAACAAAATCACAATTGCATCTTGGAACTTTCATTGATCATTTTTTATGCGATATTCTAAAATAAAAATAGGTCGATTGAAACGTGTAATGATCACCAGCAGTGTTGCCCTAAAGAACTCTCAGACAATCTACCCAACTACAATTCCATTATGCTCTGCAGTCACACACCTGTTTCAGTTCATCACAGCTGAAGCTCATCACAGCTGATTACATGGAAAATATATTCACCTTATACTCCGCTGACGAGCAGGCGCTGCCATTTGAATCTTTTTGTCTCGAGACTTTCGGTCACATTCACTTCCATTCATTTTTTGACGTTAACAACTGCTCGTTACGCTGCTTGATGTTGCAATTTGATATTTTCTTATTATATTAATCTACTTGGTCTGTGTAGTCCTGCAAACATTTGTTTGTAGAGCAAGTAGTTTGACCATTTTCTGCCGTTTATTATTCCTAGTCATTTCTCCCATAGGCGACTGAATTGAAAGTTCTAAAACAATCGCGAAAACAGGTGCACTTCCGCATTTTAGAATAAGGTCAATACACCACTCACACACTCATCCAGGGTTGAGTTTTGTTTCCACTGTAGTGAGCACTTCATAAGTGTCCTTGTTTGTTTATATTGTTTGTTTGTTTTGCCGCATGCCTCGACCATTCGCCTGTTTTATCGACTACTCTTGTGGATTATCTTCACGCTACCGTCTGTCCCCGTTTGAACCTTTCCAGACTGAACATTCTAATAAAAGCTGCATTTGGATCTTGTTGTCAACACTCAACAACCATGGCTGATCAGTAGATTCCAAAACAACACTGGAATAACGTTCATTATATGCGCAAAAAAAATGTATGATAGAATAAATATTCTGTTGGGTTTCACAGAAGAATCATATATGTTTAAATGACATAAGAGTGAGCAAAAGTTAAGAATTTTTTTCATTTCTGGACATACCTCAAATCCCTGTACATCAGGCATTGCTGACTGTGGCCGTATCGGTTCCTCTTTGGTACCTTTAAGCTGGAAACACTTAATAACGCTGGGAGGAAGGACTGGTTTGATTTGGTAAATGGCCCCATAATCCAAGTCATTTCCAATCAGAAATGTGCGCGTTGTACCTGTATATAGAGAGCATCAATAAGGAAATCCTACAAACTACAAACATTCAATACTGTGTAAGCTTTTCATGATCAACTAACTGACCATTATAGTAGTCGATTCGACTTCTGTTCTCCTCAAAGTCGTACCAAGCTTCAAAAGGTTCTTCTATCTCATAGGAAGGCAATGAAATCACACCTAAATAAAAGAGAGACACTTTAAAAACAAGCACTCTACTGGGATGTTCTGTGTAATAAGGCAGAAATGTACCTTTGACATGATACATCTTTCCAAAATCAGGAACTGCCCTGTCATCATCTGGTTTGGTGGCTGAGGAAGAAAACAGAGAGAGATTATATTCATTTATTCATTACTTTTCCTGAAGTAAGAAAACACACATACTATTGCATACTTTATTTATAATTCAAATCTGTTGACGCCTTAATTACAAGTTCAAGTACAAGTTTCTCTCAGAAAAAAAGGTGTGCAATATGTCACGGGGCAGTACACTTTCAAAAGGTACACACAAAAAAGGGTCCGTATTGATATAAATTATTACCTAAAATTAAAAAGCATTCCTTGAATTTAATAGGTACTTACTGTATGTGCCTTTGAGGTACCAGAATAACCCCAATATGGTGTAACTTTTCAAATAGAACCGTCCCAGTGACAGCATCTTGTGCTCAGTAAAGTTGATTTTAGGTTTGATATTTGCAGGACATTTGCTTTTAAAGCTTCAGGCATCATCTATAAATTATAAATACAAAACCAAAACGTGAATGATAGTAAAGCAGATGAAAATATTTCTAGAAGGCTCCGGTAAATGTCTAGAGGTCAGACTGACTTAAAGTTAAGATATTGTCACATTTCTCTTCATAAGTATACAGTAAAATATTTTACCAGGAATATTGAGTAATTTACCTAAATGTTATTTTGCAAAGGTTGTAGTTCATTTGATGAGGCCAGACTGACTAACTAGGCTACAGATATCATTTCACCATATTTCCCTTCATATATGTACAGTACAGTAGACAAATAATTTAGAAAAATATTTTCCATAATTCACCTAAATGTAATTTTCTCTACAGGTTAAATCACATACCCAGAGACTTAGTAGAGATAATGTTTTCACCAAGATCTCCCTTCATATCTGTTCTGAGTCTAGTCTTATGTGCAACAACCTTTCGAATGAAAAAATTACATTTAATTAATGAATTATTGGTAAATAATTGTGTAATTGATGATTACTGTAAATGTGTTTCAGTAATATGTCCACTGTACATGTATAAAGAGAGATATTTGTAAAAACCTGTTTAAGTTAGGCAGGAAAGTTGATAGTGCTATTTTTTGTCTTAACATATTGAGATATTGTCAATTTGTATGTCCTAAGTTAGTTTTCTTTATGTAAATAACTGTACATGTACTGTGTGTATAATGTAAAACTACTTAAGCGTAGTGCATCACTGAAGTGTCTATGAACCTTCAGCTAAACTTTTTATACTCTCACAATTTATTTTGTTCCATGATTATTATATTTCTATTTTCTATCATTCTACCGTTTGCACATCTACACACGTTTTAACACACAATACAGCATTTATAGACGGTCCCCTAAAGATCATGCGCTGACAGCTCGTCAGTAAACATGCAAGTACACAACGCGTGTGCTGTTTTAAATGGAGATTTCTTGTAGATCCATAACACGTGTGCAAGTTATTAGTAAACTGTGCTTACATGAATATCAGGCCAATATACAACCTAAAACTTTACCGAGCTGCTAAATCTAGTAAGGTTTATTTTTATAAAACGCAGCGACAGCGTCCCTTTTCTTCATTTTCATATACACATATATTTCTGAATATCGGTGTAATACATGCCAATTTCCCAGTATAACGTTAAAATGGCATTAAATTAGTATTTCAGCACATACGTTATAAGTGCATGAGTAAGCAATGTAGATGATACGGATAAAACAAATGAAAACCCGTTACTTGTCATCTTCTGCGCCATCCTCTGCAGTAATCAGAATTGAAGCTTCCTTCACTGTCAGAACTACCGCAACATCTAGTCGGAAAGTGGACACAAAGTCCTATTAATAGGCTACTGGGAGTCGGGAAACTCATAGATGACTTTAATTTCCGGGTTGTGTGTGTCCTGTTGGAGCAATGACTGGATTCGTTTTTTTTTTTTTTTTTTTTTTTTTTTGAATGCAAATATACAACCACAATCAGGAGATTGATATGAGAGTGGATTAGTTGTTTTACATCACATTATTTTGTTGGGGGAAATAATTGAGTGGACATCATGAATAAAGTGGCTTTAATCACTAGTTAATATTCAGTACATTAGGGTTTGAACAGAACCGTCAGCATGTTAAAAGTTAATTCGCAAAAACATGTTTTTTATATTTTCATGTTTTTATTTTGTGCATTAAAGGGTTCATTTGCAAAAAAGAGAAGATTAATGAAATTAAAAATGACTCATTTTTGCAGATGAGCTCTTTATGTGCTTTTTAAAAATTGTACATTTTACCAAAATAGCTTAAAGATGCAGATACTCCACTTTATCAAATTTAATTATTCAAAACATTCATGAAAATGACAATTACAATTCACAGTTTAAGAACTTCTCAGGTTAAGAATTTAACAACTCCTAAAATATATAATCTAACAACAACACAGTTCATCAAAATGTAATACATATCAAATGAGTGAGGAATATTTTGCATCAAATCCAAGCAAAATAGAAAATAAAGTCTGGACGACAGTCTCATTCCTGTCCTACCCTCTCAAAAACAAAGGTATGCGAGCTGTCACTGGGGTGGTACCTTTTTAAAAGTTACAAATTTGTATCTAAAAGGTCCGCATTAACACTTCAAGGGTACATATCAGTACCTAAAAAGTACAAAAGTGTTCCTCTTAAAATTTTTATATCCTAATATACACTCTGAGTTACCAATGTGGACCCTTTAAGTACAAATGTGTACCTTTTGAAAGGGTACCACCCCAGTGACAGCTCACGTACCTTTATTTCTGAGACTGTGTACTGATTACTACATTATTAAAAGGTGAATGGCAGTGAGTGAGTTTTGACATGTACATCATGATGCTCTAAAACAATAGTCTCAAACTCAATTCCAGGAGGGCCTTCAGCTCTAACCCCATCCAAATCACAGTCTCTAGTAGTCTTGAACACCTTGATTAGTTGGATCAGCTGTGTTTGATTAGGGTTGTAGCAAAACTGTACAGAGCTGCGGCCCTCCAGGAATCCAGGTTGAGACCTGTACTCTAAAATCAACTCAAAATCTCAAACATATTTGTTATCCATATAATGGATGGAAGCTATAAACAAAAGACTGTGTTTTCTGTGAAAGTCTGAACTCTGACAACTAGTTATTTCAGACTGCAAGTGATATAAAAAAGAATGTAGAGCACAAATCATGTAGAGTACAACAGGTCATACTCGAAACTTTACACATCTAAAGTCATGTGATGCAAATTCATGGAGTAGGTTCAGCAAAGGTCAGTCAGAGCAGAGCTGTAGGTTGGTTCTGATGGGAAGACTAGTGTCCACCCAGCTGTTGGGGCTCTGAATCACACTTGACCACACATTGATCTCATCTTCTGTCGAGTCCATCCAGCAAACAGACTGACCGTAACTTAAGCCTGCAACACATGAACGCAAGGGGACAGATTTAGTATAGTTCCGCAAAGGCATGGACAAAAAATCTACTCTTGACACATAGTGATAAACTTCTGATGTACAATGCACCGATGGTTTAATTTCTGCAGCTGACTTTATTGCATAAGCATTTGTAGGAGTTTCCCTATCCATATCCAACAGAGAGCTTTTCAACTGAATCATGCAACGGCTGCTAATGACCTCAGTATTGTGACTAGTTACTGAATAGAGGTCATTTTCTATATCTTTAACCATAACGTACAAGTCAGTGGATCACAACCTATTTAGCTGTATTGTTTATTATTAAAATTATCAAGGTTGTAGTTGGGTTTGGGTATTGAGGAGGATTAGGAATAACATGCAGAATATGTGCTTTATTCATTCATTCATTTTCTTGTCGGCTTAGTCCCTTTATTAATCCGGGGTCACCACAGCGGAATGAACCGCCAACTTATCCAGCAAGCTTTTACGCAGCGGATGCCCTTCCAGCCATAACCCATCTCTGGGAAACATCCACACACACATTCACACACACACACTCATACACTACAGACAATTTAGCCTACCCAATTCACCAGTACCGCATGTCTTTGGACTGTGGGGGAAACCGGAGCACCCGGAGGAAACCCACGCGAAGGCAGGGAGAACATGCAAACTCCACACAGAAAACGCTAACTGAGCCGAGGTTCGAACCAGCGACCTTCTTGCTGTGAGGCGACAGCACTACCTACTGCGCCACTGCCTTGCCCCCATATGTGCTTTAATATTTATTTATTTTGTATTAATAAACAGCCAATATTATTTTAACAGCGAGGTAATAATTTGCTAGTTAATAGGAAGAATTGGTACTTAAATGAGTTACTGTTTTGTACCATACCGTAAAAGTGTCACTGTTTTGTTTTATTATACAGATTAATGTTATATCCAACCTGAAAAACTTGAAAGGTACTGCAAAGAGGAATGGACAAAAATTGCCAAAGACAGGTTTGCCAAGCTTGTGGCTTGTAGGTTTTTTATTTTTGTTTTAATAAACTTGCAACAATTTCAAAAACTCTTTTGAATTGTCATTATGGGGTATTGTGTAAAGAATATTGAGAAATAAATTACTTTAATCCATTTTGGAATAAGGCTGTAACATAAAAAATGTGGAAAAAGTGAAGCGCTATGAATACTTCCCTGGATGCACTGTATAGTAAAAAGATAGGTGAAAGCTATGGTTCAGATCCCGCAAAATGCATATTGAAATTGATTAGTGTACCCTTATAATCCAGTCAAAGGGGGCTGGTAGTCATCTAGTGGAAATGTTTGGTATTTAGCCTAAACAGCCAATATATATATATAATATATATTAATACTTAACTTTATATAATAAAAAAACATATACTTTTGACTTTCATCCAAGTTTAAACAGCTGCTAGAAATGTTTTAAACTGCATGTATTTTAATCTGGTGTTTTCAAGTACTTAGGTTTTGGATAAAAGTGCTGAAAATATAATAGCTTTGCTTTAAAAATAATATATCTTACTAAATATGTAATAACAATTAATTATAAAACTACTTTTTTTTTTTGCTTTTGCATAAAATGTTAAATGATATTAAACAAATATAAAAAGACACTTTTAGGATGTGAGTAAATTCCATTTAAGAGAGTAAATAGCAGAAATTCAGTGTTGGGCTTGGGGGGCAAACATGCCATCAAAACTTGTCCTTAGTATGGCATACTATAGAATAACATAACAAACAGCCTCTGATATAACGTGATGATTGTGCTTGAAATGTGCTTAAATGTGACACTGGTAAAGGTGTAATAACCCTGTTTGATGTGTTGTATAGTTCATTACGCTTCAATCTGCATCACCTGAGCCAGTGCTGAGGCGGACTCCACCCAGACAGCCGGAGGGATGTGGGTTCCAGACTGTTATCTCTGCACAGGCCTGAATGAGGTCACTGGACTGAAAGCCGTCATAAACCATGGTGTGATTGAACACTGGGCTGACAGAACCACGGACCACACGAGTCTGCTGACCGCTGACACCACTCTCATCTGGTAAAACCACACTGCACACACATACCATACTGATGCGCTCACAAAAAAAAAAAACAGCATACTTATCTATTACGAATATGCAGAATCCCACACCTTTTTACATATGTGTTAGGTGCGCCACGTTTTGTGGGAAGTAAACCGACAATCTCTCTCAACCAAATATGGAGTTCACCAGTCGCTGGATTTCCACGTCCTACAAACACAAAAAACACTAAACAAGACTGACATAAAGATGCCGCTAAGAATTTTCAAGGGTAAAGTCGTTTATATTTAATGTGGAACTACTGGACCACATGTTTTACATTCAATCCGTATAGATTTGATTATAGCCAAAAAAGTTTTTTGTTCTTTTGTGGCAAAACTCATTAAACAATACATCATAATAACAGGCAGGGCTTGACATGAACTTTTCTGATCACCAGCCTCTGTGGCTAGTAGTTTTCCAACATTACTAGCCACTCTGCATTTTCACTAGCCACAATTTTGTTGTTGGGACAATATATTTCATGCGTTATGCATTAATATAACTTTGACATACTAAAATGACTTGATTTAGATTTTGTGTTATGTCCACATGCCTCACGATTCTGGCAGGGAACATCATTTTGAATCCTACTCATGTGTTGAATCATGAATTTATACCATTAAAGTCTAACCATCGATTTAGAGTCCCAAGCTGTAATAAAGTGAAATTAGAACAGTCATTTGTACATCAGGCTGTCTTGGAGCTGAAGTCTGTGTAAAATTTGTATTATTTTTGTATTAGTCTTTGTCTCCTTGTAAGGAGTGTTAATCATGCTGTTACGCAAGAAAAATTTCAGATGCAAATCTGACAATAAAGTTTTGTATTGTATTCTATTGCCATATCTGGGACATTTTGTTTCTATTTCTTTTAGTCAACCACTTAAACCCATTCATTCACTCATTTTCTTGTCGGCTTAGTCCCTTTATTAATCCGGGTTTCGCAACAGCGGAATGAACTGCCAACTTATCCAGCACATTTTATGCAGCGGATGCCCTTCCAGCCACAATCCATCTCTAGGAAACATCCACACACACTTATTCACACACACACTCATACACTACGGACAATTTAGTCTACCCAATTCACCTGTACCGCATGTGTTTGGACTGTGGGGGAAACCGGAGCACCCGGAGGAAACCCACGTGAACGCAGGGAGAACATGCAAACTCCACACAGAAACGGCCACTGAGCCAAGGCTCGAACCAGCGACCCAGTGACCTTCTTGCTGTGAGGCGACAGCACTACCTACTGCGCCACTTCGTTGCCCACTTAAACCCGTTTTTAGCACTATTCACTTGTGAGGGGATTAATGAAAAGCATTGCTTGATTGGATTTTTAATTGATTAATTGTGCAGCTATACACTGAATACATTAATGCAGGCTAAACACATGACAGAAAACAGTTTATAGTTTAAAAGTTTATGGTTTTGGCGAGCTGAAATACCAACCAGGGGGCTAAATCTCACCTAAAATGGGTCTAGAACCACCCCTGATGTAAACCTGGCCTAAATGTGGATTATAAAAAGGTATAAATAATAAATATCTATTTAGACTCACCCTCTGAACCAGGAGGTACAAACTTAATTGAGAACAGAATGGTTCCTCTGCTGATGATGGCTTCCGGACTCAACTGAACCTACATAAAGAGAAAAAGTCTCACTATTTATTTATAAAAATTCTGCCATCAGTTTATCTGTGGAAAGTGCTCACTCTTGGCTGAAGGTTTTGCCAGGTCGGCTGGTTCTGGCTCCAGTCCCACTGACCCAGCCTGACCTCCAGCTCTCCCAGGAAGAGGTTTCTCCTCATTCTCTCCATGTGCCACACTGACATACTCAACACGCGAGCCGGGAGGTCCAGTCGCCGCACTTTGTACTGATATAGACATATATTTTATAGCTTAGTCGAGTAATACCATTACAAAGCAATTTGTTAATCATTAAATAAAAGAAAACTGACCGTCATGGTTTCATCGTAGACTGGATTTAATGTTTTCCTCCTCACTGCAGTCTTTTTCTTACTACGGGAAGTGTTGTCGGGGAGAAGGTAAACTTTAACATATCTGCACGCAAGAGAAAGAGACATTGAAATATCCACACTGCTTTAACCTTTAAAGGTCCCATAAAATTAAAGGCTTTTTAGATGTTAGTATCAGTATTGTTTGTTTTTAGGGACTACAAACTAAAGCTTGTAGTTTGTCACTTCCGCCTAAATCGGTCAACGGTTTTATTCACCTCATACTTCAGATCCTCATCAAATCACGACCAATCAAATTCTCTCTTGTCGGACATGTCCAGCCCCCTTCAAGACACCTCTCATTTGCTTTTCATTTGATGTGCTTGAGCTCATCCACTCTCACTGGCAGAGTAGTGATAAAACACAATGCTATTGGCTGTTTTTTATAAGGGGGAGGAGCTACACTTTTGACAAAGGGGAGGAGCTACTTTCCCACACTCTCTTCATGTTTCGGTTGAGATTACGTCAAGCATCATAATAAAATTAATTTCAAGTATCATATAAAAAGTCATATTTTAAAGCACTTCATGGGACCTTTTAAAATGCAAACCTCACTGTAATTCATTTTTAAAAAGTTTGACATCAACATTCCTAATCATGCACAAAAACATATTAAGCAGCGTGACTGTCTGATTTACTGTTTCATAAATAGTTAATGAATAACAATGAATGGGAGCTTGGTAGTTTAATACATACGGATCTGATCGATTTTTGCGTGCTGATGCAAGATCTTGGCAGCGTATTATGTGCACATAAAGCTCCTCCGTCCTGACATCATACTGCAGTGAGAACTGGATCCGTCCTGATACGACAACATCCCCAAAATCCCCCACACTGTACAGGCTCATCAGACTGCCATTCATCTGCACAAACACAAACTGAACAGTTAGAAAAATTACGTGTTTGATTTGCAGAATAAAAAAATCTTTAATAATGGAGTTTTTGTCTTGTTACTAGTCCAAACATCAAACTACTAAAAAACTAAGAAGAATTTTCCAGACAAGTAAAAATTATTGTATTGTTTTCAGGAAAATAAAGTTTCAATTTAGTAATTTTCTCCTTAAAACAAGCAAAACAATCTGCTTATGTGGTAAGAAATGTAGTCGGAAAAATAAGTGGCCATTATTTTGCTTGTTATAGGCAAAAAAAAATCAATTTATTTATTTGTTTCTGAAAACAAGACATTCATTTTTACTTGTCCAGAATTTGACTTGTTTTTATGGTGTATTTAATATTTTTCACATTTAAACATAAACAACAATCATCAAGAACAGTGATGAAATGGAAAAAATAAAATAAAATACAGAATACAAAGTACAAATTATAGTATAGGTATTGGTACTCAGATACATCATATCAAAAATATGAATGAATTAAATTAATAAATAATATAAAGGCGGCATAGTGGCTCAGTGGTTAGCACTGTTGACTCACAGCAAGATGGTCACTGGTTTGGGACCCGGCTGGGTCATTTGGCATTACTGTGTCTAGTTTGCATGTTCTCCCTGTGTTGGCGAGGGTTTCCGGGTTCTCCGGTTTCCCCCACAGTTCAAAAACATGCGCTATGAATGAATTGGGTAAACAAAATTGGCCGTAGTTTGTTAATGTAAGAGTTTATGGGTGTTTCCCAGTACTGGGTTGTGGTTGGAAGGGCATCTGCAGTATAAAACATATGCTGGAATAGTTGGTGGTTCATTACGCTGTGGCAACACCTGATAAATAAGGGACTGAGCCGATGGAGAATGAATGAATAAATAAATAAATAAACTAAGTGCAAAGCTAAATGAGGTACAGATGCCAGTGTATACAACAATCTCAATAATAAGATTAAAGAAGATAAAGGGTTACAAACTTTTATTATGTATTGTTATTATGACGGGTTGGCAGTGGTGACCAGTCTAGATCCAGCTGGAGAATTTTAACATAAGCAAGAAAGAGCTTCCAAATTTTAGCAAAACTTGTGTTATGTTTTTGAAGGGATGGTCTAATCTTCTGTAATCTTCAATAATTGAAATGCAGTAGGGGAGAGCGGGGACAAAAGTAAAGTAGGACAAAAGTAACAAAAAGGATTTTCTTGAAGTCCTGACAACATTTGCTTTCCAGGCTATAACGGCATGTTTAGCATGCAACCCTTGATGGAGCTGCCAAATATCAGAATTCGGTACCGTGTCCCACAGTTAGATCCGAATTTCTGTTTTTAAGTTTAGAAAGTAAATGTAGCGGTTCTTTTTTCCTTATTCCAAGTTGTGTTTCTCTTTTCATGTGTCACACTAATGATCAATCTACAAGTTATTTATTACCACATCCTTGAGTTTGCAATGTCTGAGTTTTCCAGTTTAAAAGTAAATCAGGTTTAAATGGCAAGAGTTCCTGTGGAGACGAAAGTAACACTGTTATTTATGTTCCACCGCTAATAGCCATGCATTATTTTTCACTTCCACATTAGAGTTTGCAGTGTTTTGACTCAAATGTTTTATACAATTTATTCAAATTGCTAATAATAATAATAAAAAAATAAAAAAATTTAGAAAATTGTCACATTTTGCATTGTTGGGTTGCTTTCCAATTTGATGGAAGTGAAATATGTTTGCAGTGAACATTAACAAGGTCATAATCAGACATATTTAAAATAAACAATATTAAGCCAGTAAATCTAGCAAATGTTGTTGTTACTTTTGACCCAGCCGTTATTGTTACTTTCATTCTTACTGATAGGGTCAAAAGTGGCAATGTGCAATTTGTTTAAAATGAAATTATTTTAAAGTTGTTTTATGTTTGTTCAAAATACCACCTGATGTTGATAGACCACACTTATGAGTAGGGCCAGACGGAATCTGCAGGCGTTTTTTTTTTGCAATTTCTGCTGAGAATTTTGCTAAAAATCTGTGGATTTCTGCTGAATTATTTTGGAAGAATCATAAATATAACCTTAATATGTGAAATAAAAAAATAATATCTTTTTAACTTAAATGTTTAAAACGCAAAGCAAATTAGATTCACTTTAATTGGTAAATAAAGCAAGTCTCTCATATAATATTTCTACTAAAAGACAGAAAATATTATTTTACAAACTGCATTGTACATAAATCAGATGAACATTTTCATATTAGACAATAATATTACTTTAATTAATTTGAAAACTGAATAAATATAGATTTACACACATTTACTCAAGCAAAAAAACAGAATTAATAATGGGCTAAAAATCTGCAGATTTCTGTGCGCGCAGATTCCGTGTGGGCCTACTTATGAGTTAGTAACCACAGCAAAAAAATATTTCTGTCTGAAACATTATCTTATAAAAATAGGGTTTTTATGAAAATTGGTACTTTTGTCCCTGCTCCCCCCTAACATATTTCATCCACAATGCATGCACTTCTTTCACATCAATGCTTCTTGATTTAGGCTTTTGTATTGTAGATACTTGGACTTCAAACAAGACAAAACCTTTAAGTACGATTTTTTTGCAGTGTATAAATGTGTCTTACCATATGATGGGAAGTCAAACTGGTAACCGAGCCAAATCTAGTATAGTTTATTTCAGTGCTTCCTGAGTCAATGTCTCCCTCTGAGTCAATCTATAGAAACACAGATGTAGTGCACATAATGTTTTCAAGGATGTGTGTGTTGTTTGTACAACTGTCCTTGTTGAACAGACCTGAAGAGTTGGTGATGTGCTTGGCAAAATTCTTCTTTCTTTGTTTTCTGACTCTTCAACACTGTCTGAGGAATGAGAGAAATGTGAACAGTTTTGATGCACTTCTAGTATATATTTATCAATCATTATTTGGCTGTCGGTGTAGTGTAGTGTATTAGTTTACCTTCAAAGCCACTGCCTAATATTTCATTCCTCTGTTCAAAGCAAGAATATTATGTGAAACATCTCACAGGCTGTAGCATACATTTCATTAATATAGACAATATGATCTGCAATTGAAATTAACCTTTGTGACGTTTCTTGTCCTGGATTGTGGTATAGTGATGGCATTAGAAATGAGACTAAAAGGGAAACCACAATATAAGACAGAGATTCATATTTAACCTAATTATTGACTTCTAGTGATTTTTGTACAAAAAAAAATTCTTAGTTGTGGTTTCACAAATTTTATACTAATAACAGTTCAACAACAACAAAAGTTACATTTAATAAACTATATCTGAATTTCTGTTCAACCTAAAAATATTTAGAGCAGAAAATTTGTGCTATAACAATAATAATAATATCTAAAATCGCAATATTTGGTTTGTTTAAGACCATTTTTTATCTGATAATCCATGTTTCTGAGTGTCAGATCCTTGTAATGCCATGCAAGGTATTATTATTATTATGATTAATATTAAATAATTGCAATCTTTGGCTTGTTTAAGAATTTATTATATTAAAAAAGCCATGTATTTAAATGTCAGATCCTTGTAATGCCATATAAGATATTATTATTATTATTATTCAAAATAATAATAATAAAATAATATAAAAAATAATAATAATAACAATTGCAATCTTTGGCTTGTTTAGGATCATTTTTGATACAATAAGCCTTGTTTCTGAGTGTCAGATCCTTGTAATGCCATGTAAACCCATACCATATACAGTATCCATGTAAATAAACATTGTCTGCTTGACAAACACTAAACATATATATTTACTTTTTGTTTTGTATAATAGTACACAGACTGTTAAAATAAACACAGAAATCCAAAATTAAGCAATAAAGATTACAAACAAAAATTGCACCAACCTTTCCCCATCTTCTTGTCCGCTTTCCTTCTGTTCCTGATGCTTATCGTCCTCTCTTTCATTCATATTTCCCTGCAAATCTCTCTCTGCATTCCTGTCTTCCTCTTGCTGCTCATGTACATGAGAAGAGTTATTACCTTTATCAAATATTGCCGTCAGAGGTAAATCTACATAAATAAAAGAAAATAAAAACAGTACTGTTTGTGGTGACACATGCCAATATATAAACATTATAGCTACAGAAAAGCATTATAGATCATGTGACCTTTTCCTCGCCTCTTACGGCGTAAAGAAGCATGAACAACATCAGCTCCTCCTTTCTCGTATCTCTTAGAACGTTCTTCGTGAAACCAGGCACCAGAGAGTGAGCGCAGATGCACCGGGTCTGACACCGTCTGCTGAAGCTTTCTGAAAACACAAATATTTCACCTTTTCTTGCTCATTAAACTTACTGTGATGTGAAAAAGTTAGGACACCCTATTGAACTTTATTTCCTTATCAGGACTTAACCCTCATGTGCTGTTGGGATGTTTTCATCCACTCTGGAGTAATTTTGAGGCTTAATTTGACCACAACTTTCTGTGTGTTTCAGCAAATGGTGACAAATCCCAATTTTTTGACACTCATTTTTAGGAAAATGCTTTGGAATTTTTCAAAAACTCAACAATAAACTGGGCAAATTTGCATTTATTAATTGCAAAGCCATGACACCATATATTCATGCATTCTTAATTGTTGGTGGTTTCTCCTGTGCCTTCAAAATGAAATGACACAGGAAAAAACTATTGAACGCATGAAGAAAGGAAGGTGTAAAAAGGCAGTGAAAGCCCAGACAGCAGCTGAAATCTCTCAGTAGTTCTTCAGCAACCCTCTGCACTTCGTCATTGTAAATTAATATTCGCTGCTTCAGTCAAACATCTACATTATCAGGAAGATTAAGATGAATCCAGGGTGGACATTTCAGCAAGACAATGACCCAAAACAGCCAAGGAAACTCTCAAATGCTTTCAGTAAAAAAAAAAATCAAGCTGTAGAATGGCCCAGACAATCACCTGACTCGAATCCAATATAAATACAAAATAAAGACCAGATTTGTAAGAATGGGTTTTAACCACAGCGGTTCAAACTGCAGTCCTGCCGAGTGACTAAAAGGTTATCAGCATGATGGTAAAAAACTGTACATTTCTAGTTAAACCATTCTTCTGCAATCTCATACCAAAAACAGAAAGAAGGGCAGTATTTATAGCTATAAATGTGGGAGAGCGTTGATATTATGTGATTGTATTGTAATGCAATATGGAGCAATTAAGTGTTGATGTTTAATGAAAAGTAATTCACAAATACTTGAAAATGAAATGATTTATTGACAATAATTATCTATGGTTACAACTGAATTAATTACAAAATAACTATAAAATGATCAAATATAAAATGATAAAAAAAATGATATAAATTGTACCCAGCCTAAATGTACAACTAAAGTTACCAGAGGTAGAAGGAGAGTCAGAGAAGATAGACTCCAGAGGAGGAGAGAAGCAGACCAGGAAAAGAGACAGAGTAGAGTTTTACACCTATTTTGTATCTTTCTTGACCATGTGACTAAAGCCCAAATGCTGAGACATTCAAACTGACCAGTCAACATGTGACCACATTGTAAAACCCCCAAACCATACCAGCCCCTGATCTTATCAGTATCTGCCTTTAGAGTCAGTATGGACCTTCTTGAGTCAAAAAGACATGTTTTGTCATGTAAACAAATACATATGATTATTTAGCCTCTTACAGATTTAATAGATGAGACCCACAGAACCATCACGATTTTTACACTCTGTTGAAGATGTGAAAACAACTCACATCTGAGTAATGCATGTGACTTCACTCTCCATATGAGAGGCGAAAAAAGCCTTTTATAAAAAGTATTAAGTATGTTTCAGTAGTTCAGGACTTTCTCATTCAGTCATTCCACTGTTATTACACAGAACTCATTCATTCATTCATTTTCTTGTCGGCTTAGTCCCTTTATTAATCCGGGGTCGCCACAGCAGAATGAACCGCCAATTTATCCAGCAAGTTTTTACGCAGCGGATGCCCTTCCAGCCGCAACCCATCTCTGGAAAACATCCACACACACATTCACACACACTCATACACTACGGACAATTTAGCCTACCCAATTCACCTGTACCGCATGTCTTTGGACTGTGGGGGAAACCGGAGCACCCGGAGGAAACCCACGCGAAGGCAGGGAGAACATGCAAACTCCACACAGAAACACCAACTGAGCCAAGGTTCGAACCAGTGACGACCTTGCTGTGAGGCGACAGCACTACCTACTGCGCCACTGCCTCGCCCACACAGAACTAATTTTTCAAATTTCTTTTTTTTTTTTTTTTAATTTTTGCATTGTTTGAGTTTTTAGCAAAATCTGGTTCAATTACATGCCAACAGCTCCTTTAGAAATAGTATTCCCTGGAAAAAACATGACCTGTTCAATACTTATTCCCCCTGCTGTATATATTGTTGTTCACCTGAAGCTTAATTTTCCTGCAAAAAGATTGTTTTTTTACACATATTATTCTGATATGGAAAATTTGTAATTGAATAGGGTGTCCTAACTTTTTCACACAACTGAATATTTTGCAAATTAGTCCAGTAATGTGCACATACTGACCGGACTCTACCTTCCTCTCGGCTGCGGAGTTCAGCATCTCTCAGCAAAACATTGAGGATTACCGTTTGCTCCACCTCCGTCAGGTGACACAGATCTAGTACAGGTTCCTTTTCCATTACAGACACACCTGACGCCGAACACACCGGGTTATTAGGATAATGATGTAGATGTGGTTCATGAGAAACCACACCTAAGAGAGCTGCTGATAGAAATATATGGGAACTACAAGAGTTTTGGTATTGTGATAAAACACACATAAAGGATTAATGGTAACACTTTACAATGAGTTTACATTTGTGAATATACAGTGGAAGTTAGAATCATTAGCCCCACTGGATATTTTTTCCCCAATTTCTAAACATAATAGTTTAAATAACTCATTTCTAATAACAGATTTCTTTTATCTTTGCCATGATGACAGTACATAATATTTTACTCGACATTTTTATAAGTGCAGTTTAAAAATATTGCTTAAGGGGGCTAATAATATTGACATTAAATGTTTTTTTTTTTTAATTAAAACCTGCTTTTATTCTAGCTGAAATAAAACAAATAAGACTTTCTCCAAGAGAAAAATATTATAGGAAGATTTCTTTATATTTAAAATTTCTTGCTGTGTTAACCATCATTTGGAAAATACTTGACAGAAAGTTCACAGGAGGGCTAATAATTTACTAAACTATAACTTTACGTTTCAGAAAATAAATTCCAATTTCAAGAAATTATAACCAGTATTTTGAGCTCTAACCTGCATGAATGTTTATTATGGTCCTGCATTAATGTTCATTCATGTTCTCCAGATGTTCATTCATGTTCTTACTGCTGCAAGAACACGGTTATATAAAAGAGACTAATGTTTTCTGTTAATTTATCCACCCTCAATCCTTCCAAGATGATTTTTTTTGGTATTTATTTAAAAAAAACTGTTTTATTGTTATTGTTTTTGACTCAAAGATCTGGTAATTGTTGACCATTTCAATGTGGAAATGTAATTGGTCCTTGAACATTTCCTGCTTGTCACCATACTATTTCATAACTGTAACAAGAGGCAATTCAACCCTATTTTCACGTTAAATTAGCTATCATAACATTATTTATCAATATCTTGACCTTTTTGGATTATCGTAAGCTATGGAAATTAAAAATATAAAAGAGGAAATACATCAGGATATATACATCATTGTTATTGTTTACATTCCTCAAAATGGTCTATACATTCATTCACAGCCAATGTAAATTTTTAGGGGAATTCTCCTTGTCAGAAACTTTATAATCAGTGACTTCAATACTTGTTTTCCCCATACTATATATATATATATATATATATATATATATATATATATATATATATATATATATATATATATATATATATATATATATATATATATATATATATATATATATATATATATATATATATATATATATATATATATATATATATATATATATATATATATATATATATATATTACCACAAATTACAATTTTCTACGAAAACTGTCGAAAACTTTGACGATGGTAAGCCAAAGTTAATTTGTTTTCCTCACCACTAAAATCACATGCATTTAATGTACTCATTCAAATGTATGCAAAGCTGTACAATAGATTTCATTAATTTTTTTGTATTTCCTATTATTTGTTCCAAGCTTTATCTTAGTGTCCAAATGAAACTAACAATAGTTGATTTCATTATAAATGTTTACGAGCAGCAGTAAACTTAATTTCAGGTGAACTGACAGACGGAGCGATGCTTGAATCGCGCATGCGCACAACAAACCGGGCCAAACGACAAAAGTAAACATAATTGCTTACCAATTCGCAAAGAAAGTGTTTATCTGCTTCCACAAAATTACATTAACATAAACTAATGCAACGTAACTCCAGTTAATCAAGTTACTGAAGACTCTCGGTGAGTACATTTTATAAAAACTCGAGGAGAAATGAACAGATGGAGTCGCACCTGTCAACTCTCATTCGCATCAAAATCAGAAGTGAAAAAGTACCATAAGACGCGAACAATTCTGCTTTGAACGACAGTATGTTATGTTTTTACCTCATCTAATGTCTTCTGCATAGTTTATTCCGGTGTTTGTTTCTTTCCCAAGTTTAGTTGTCGTCAGTTTGTGAACAGACACTCATTTGTGTCTGATTTGGCAGGACTGGCACTTTCACACCCGCCCTCGTTTGGGCACAGAGCAAAATGCGAACCGGATTCCCACCGAGCACGCGCTTATTTTACTAATTACTCTCTCTCTCTCACACACACTCAAAGTTCTGACATTATGAGTTTTACTGTTACATCTCGTATTTTTGACATTCCCCTCTCTGAATTGTGACCTTGTATTGTAATTGTTTATTATATATATTTATTGAAAATGATATTTAATCAATTTCTCTGTGATTTTGGTGGATTTAAACAAAACAATTTTATTAAACAGTTATATCTATTAAAATAAGAGTTTGGCAACCTATTATATTTAGGAATAGGAAGATAACACATGTGAATTCAAACAAGTTATTGAAAAAAAAAGCTCTTGACTAAAGCCAAATTACAAAATTTCAACCAATGGTTTGTTATTTCTGTGTTTCTCTTGATTTATCCGGTGTATTAAAACTTTATTTCATATTTTCCCCAACGTATTAATTTAGGCATACTCATTTTCAGTTTTTTTTAAGATTAGATCCAGTTTTTGCTTTGATACTGACTAATCTAATGTCTATGCACAAATATATTATTGAACAACATTATATATATATATATATATATATATATATATATATATATATATATATATATATATATATATATATATATATATATATATATATATATATATATATATATATATATATATATATATATATATATATATATATATATATAAATAGTATTTATCTCATTGGAAATCGTGCAAACAACAAGAAATGGTTAGTGTAATTACTATTAATTAAAAATAAAACTTAACTCTGAGAAAACGTTGTGAAGGTGATGATACACAGACAACTTTTTGGTTATGTGCACATAAATATGTCATAGGTTTTGTGAAAGAAACACAAAAAAATGTCTTTCTTTACAATTAACAAAAATGTGTACGCTCTGTGCTCATGTCTGTTACAGTCAGTTCCTGTTTGGAGTCTCTATCAGCCCACACCTACAAAACACACACTGACACACGATCAGAAGATTAGAAAAACACCAGACAGACAGAGACATACGTTGTTCACTGACCCGTGTGTGTGGCGTCTGTTGATTGAAGGTTGATTAATATGGCTTGGATGACAAATTTGCTCACACTCTATTTAAATGTACAATTCACGCTACTAACAAACCATTAACTAAGACTTTTAGCTCAATAAACTACTAATTGGCTGCTTATTAATAGTTATTAAGGTTGGATTAGAGATGTTAAATAAGATCATATGTTATAAGTACTAATAAACAGTTCATATCTTAAAAGGCATGTAATAAGCCAGTAGTAAATGGTGTGAATTGTTACTTAAACTAAAGTGTTACTATTCATCATATTGCAGCGACTCTCTATTGAACTAACTTCTGTTGAAGCCGTTGGTTTAAAAGGACAGGTTACCCAAAAATGACTCACTATTTACTCACTCTTGTGTAGTTTCAAACATTTATGAGCTTCTGTTTTTCTGTTGAACACAAAAGAGGATATTTTGAAGAATGCTGGTTGCTGGAACTCATTGACTTCAATAATAATGTTTTCCCTACTATGGAACTCAATGGGTAGCTACCAGCATTCTTCGAAATATCTTCTCTTGTGTTCAACCGAAACAATAAACAATAAAAAAAAAGATAGGTTCTGAACAAGGGTTGGTGATGACAGAATTTACATTTTTTGGTTGAACTATCTATGAACTATCTATTATATATATAAAAAAAACATGTTTATTATTTTATTGTATAATGTTTTTTAATTATTTTGAGTTTATATATTATTCTTGTTGTATTTGTAGCCACACTGAAAATGTAAACCTTTGTCAATTTGTATGATAATGTTTATAATAAAAATTGTAAAAAAAAAAAACTATATTTTCTGCTAAAAGTAACCCAGACTCATTCTGAATATGTACTGCTATATACATTTCTGGAGAGCGTGAAATACATCCCAGGAGGTACGTTTTTTTGCAGTTTTTGTTTTTGCGAATCCACTAGAGGCCACTGTGTACGCTTTATCAGATCTCAAATTTTCTCTTGTGTGCCATTCGCGCCCGCTTTTGAGTAAATCCACCAGAGTCCGCTGTCTACTGGCTGACTGACCGACCGATTAACTAACCCACCCTCCTCCTTCCCTAAACCCAACCAATAGTGTTTTCAAAAGCACAGATTGACCAGTGGCCATCCACTTCCCTAAACCCAACCGCAGTGTTTTTAAAAACAATCCAGAAAAAGAAAAGCCCTGATTTTTTACCACGTTTTCAGATTTTACCACATTCTCACTCTGTTGTTTACTTGTTTATTTTACTTTTTGGCTTTTGTTTTTGTCTTACCTGCTTTCTGGAACCATTCTTCATCGCACTCGAACCCCGTCGTCATTGTCAACTCCATTCTGTGTCTCAAGTCCGCTGATGTACATCGTGAGCCACTGGGCAAACTGGAAGCAATGGGACAGTCATCCATACGGAGGTAAACGGTCAGCTGGTAAGCGCGAAAAGGAACGGCGTCATAGCTATTCTTAGTGTTCATTTTAAAAGTGAAATGCAGCCATACATACCTCTAGCTGCACAATTTGCGCTCTCCAGAAATGTATATAGGTCTAGGTTTTCAGAATGAGTGTATGTTGGCTAAAATAGTGATTTTGGGGGGTTGGAATGTGTTTATTTAAGGGATTTTTTTTACAAAGTAAAGTTTTGCACATTTGTATCACCACTCCAGACAAACATTTCAAGTCACATAGAAAAAAAGTCATATATAAACACACTTATGAACACACAAACACACACACACCTCTCAGACAAACAAGGCATCAACATCACTGAGCGACACTTCACTGGCAAATTCAATATCTTTATACCCCTCCCACTTATTATAATATTAAACCACACACAACCAATCACAACCCTCCATCCCAGAGTCCAGTCTTATAACTCGTCATGAGCTGCTGCTTCGTCTGCTTTGAGTTTAAACTCGTCCTCTGTGATTATTCCATCTTTATTGCGGTCCTGATTATCATACATGCTCTCGATGATGCGCTGCGATTCGAAACCTGGCGCCAGACGACCTTTGCCCTCTTCTACCTGCTGGAGGATGTAATCTGAAAACTGTGTGGAAGGGATGGAAAGGTTCATTAACATTTTGCAGATGTATTGACGATAAACACACAAACAAACAGAGCTGGGTATTAATGGATGTATTCTGGAGTAGATAATCAGATTCCGGCGGTACTGAGGCTCAGTGGTTAGCACTGTCGCAAGAAGGTCGCAGGTTCGAGTCCTGGCTGGGTCAGCTGGCATTTCTGTGTGGAGTTTGCATGTTTGCAAATCTCTGTGTTGGCGTGGGTTTCCTCCGGGTGCTCCGGTTTCCCCCCACAGTCCAAAGACATGTGGTATAGGAGAATTGGATGTAGCTATATTGTCGTAGTGTGTGTGTGAATGAGTGTGTATGGATGTTTCCCCAGTGATGGGTTGCAACTGGAAGGGCATCCGCTGTGTAAAACATGTACTGGATAAGTTGGCAGTTCATTACGCTGTGGTGACTGCAGATTAATAAAGGGACTAAGCCGAAAAGAAAATGAGTGCATGGAGGAATTTGCAATCGGTATCTTACTACAAATCATAAGCAATCTACCCAGCTCTTTAAAGATGAACTGGTGCTGCACACACAAACACAAAAGTAAATATCAATGCACCTCAGTTTTGTCCACTTGTGCGTCTTTGTTCTTGTCCATTTCACTGAAGAGGTCAGGTGTGACGTTGTTATTCCACACAAACATGTAGCCTTCAGGAAGACCTTCCTCCACATCCACCATCTCAACCTCAAACACCAGCACTGCACTGCCAGGCACCTCTCCATCTGAGCACACAGATACTACACTGTAAACCCCAACAGTAAAGTTTATCAAATGAAATGAGTGTAGTTAAAATTGACTGAAAGTTAATTCTACTCTTTTGAAAAGAGTTTTGAACTCAGTGTTGAAGATAATAAGTTAATGAAATACTTCAACTTACATGGAGTAAGTTCACAGTACTCATATAGTATCTTTCTTTTTTTTTACTCAAATGGTTTGTAGCAGTCAGTTTCCTCAAAAAAAAAAGGGGGGGGGGGGCACAGTGCACTGCATTATCTGCGCAAAAGTTCTTGCTAATGAATGCATGAGGCCGTTCAATTTAATAAGACATTTGCAGATGAAGTGTACCCAACCCAAGTGGCCTAGTGATGTTTTACTTTTAAATTGTACATTAGGCTTTTATTTGTGCATAAGCATATCTAGATATAGTACCAAACAAATCGTATTTTTGTCATACATACTGCTAACTTATAGGAGTGATAATGTCATTAAATGTGGAGGAGGGCCTTACAATATTTTCCGGGGGAAAAGGGGTCTCAGGCAAAAAAAAAAGTTGGGAAACACTGCTTTACTTGTTCCAAACCTGATTGAGTTTCTTTCTTTTGTTGAACACAAATGAAGATATTTTGAAGAATCTGAGGACATGTTTGGGTGAAATGTCACTTTAAAGTGCTTGTTTGCTTTCAGCTCTCTGGTTTGTTTTGTGCTGGCTCCCTCTAGTGGGTCCATGACAAATTCCAATACAAATCGTGATCTATGCATTAAAAAACTCAAATTACTTTATATACAAATACGAAGTTTATGTAGTTTCATTAAAACATACTTTTAATTTTAATCTGTAAACTACTGATGACATTTTTCCTAAGTTATTATAATAATAAGCATTTATTTTAGACAGCACAATACAGATTTTTTTTTTACTTCAACTATTTGGAGAATTAAAAACTTTTTAAATAAACCTAATTTTCAGTCACAACAAATGAAAACATCAAAAACATTAAATTTTCATGAAGAAAAAAGATCTAAAGGACAATATTTAAATGCAGATGTTATAAAACTCCCAACATGTGATATTGTTTGTTGAGTAATTTTCAAAAATAGAATTTCACATATTATTAAAGCAATTTTTTAATTGAGATTTTATAATGCAGATCATAAATATTGCAATAAATTATATGCACCATGTGGCTATCTACACTGTAAAAATAATTCTGCCTTAATTTTTTTTTTGTTGAATCAAGTGAATTTTTTTAGTCATCTCAACTTACATCAATCAAATTGACTAAACAAATTAAGTTAAACTTAAACTTCAAAAATGCAGCTGAAACCTGATTAACTTAATAAAATATGTTAAAGCAACATAAATATATTTGTTATTGAGACCTTTTGTCATTTTTATACAGTCTATCTAAATATTTATTACACATATAATGGTTGCAATATTTATGATCTGCCATATTAAATCATAACTGTTTATATACAGTATAGTTACATACCTGTACACACACACACACACACACACACATTATTTGTCAGAGCATTATCTTACCCACTCCCCTCTCTCCATATGCAAGGTGAGGTGGAATAACTAGCTTGCGCTTCTCTCCGATACACATTCCCGTAAGGCCTTGCTCCATTCCTATGACAACCTGTCCGGATCCCAGAACCACATTATACGTCTTACCATACATGTGCCTGCAGTTACAAACAGACAGAGTGCAAAAGATGAATTTAGATCAACAGTATTGTTCAAATATCCACCTTTTTCTGCACCAGACTACTGCAATTTAAATTGTGGGTTTCACTTCTGGTTTAGGGGAAATTCCACTAAAATAACACTTCAGATGTAGAGGTTGTGCTAAAAGAAAACCCATAAACATAGTGAAAATTAAGTTAGAGGTTTGTCTGCTTTTGTGCTTTATTTTTATTCATTATTAATATAGAGTTTTGCTTTGCATTTGAACGTGACATCAATATCACAAGCATTAAAAGCTCCTTTTGAGTTCACTGTATTTTAGTCCTCCAAAGCCCAGACTTTCAAAAGTAATCCAGCGGGATTTTGGATCAGGGATTGGATCAAATCTTGGGAATGGGGTTTTTCAAAAGTTACAGAGGGATTTTGAATTAAGATCAGACCATGTTATTCAATCTTATGTTTGATTTGCATCAAATCTGCCTATCAAACTTTGAACTCGATTGGGATCCATTTGATCCAAAGAAACAGGATCATCCTGATCCCATCAGGAGGGTGAATTCAGTTGATTTTTTAAAACCAAATTAACCATTTATTCATTTTCTTTTCGGCTTAGTCCCTTAATTAATCTAGGGTCGCCACAGCGGAATGAACCGCCAACTTATCCAGCATATGTTTTACGCAGGTGATGCCCTTCCAGTTGCAACCCATCTCTGGGAATCATACATACACACTCATACACTATGGACAATTAAGCCTGCCCAATTCACCTGTACCACATGTCTTTGGACTGTGGGGGAAACCGGAGCACCCGATCACACGCGATCGCAGGAAGAACATGCAAACTCCACACAGAAACACCCAACTGACCCAGCTGAGGCTCGAACCAGCGGCCTTCTTGCTGTGAGGAGACAGCACTACCTACTGTGCCACTGCGTCTCCTTCAAATTAACCAGTGATAGAGCCAGTTCAGAGGACGGGGATGATTGAGAGGCCATGATCGAAAGGGCCGATTGAGGGACTTTGGCCAGGACACCAGGGTTTTACCCCTACACTTTAAGAGAAGTGCCATGGGATTTTTAATGACCACAGAGAGTCAGGACCTCGGTTTAACGTTCCATCCGAAAGATGGCACCCACTCACAGTATAGTGGCCATTTCACTATTTACTGGGGCATTAGGACTCACACAGACCGCAGATTGAGCGCCCACTGCTGGCCTCTCTAACAGCTTTCCCATGTGGTCTCCCATCCAGGTACTTACCAAGCTCAGCCCTGCTTAGCTTCAGTGAGTAACCACTCTCAGTGGCTGCAGGGTGATATGACTGTGGCAATATCAGATTATAAGATTAATGCTACCTCAAATAGTCACCTTCACTGATTGTTCACAGTTTAACAGAAGTTTCTACCATAATTCCCACAAAGCATTATGGGGCATAAAAAAAGGTGGATAATCGTTTTTGGTAACAATTTACCAAAACAACAAGATAAACATGTAAAAGCAACGCACGTGGAGCCGATGTCAGTGCCGTCCATGAGAGTGGCGTTGTAATGGTATTTGACAAAGTCTCCACGTTTTGCGTTGTAAGTGCAGTTCTCCGGCTTCACGCTGGTGATCTCCACTGTATCAGAGGGGTTGTGGAAGTCAATAATATGGACATCGAACACCAGCACAGCTGATCCAGGGATCTTAGTTCCTGTGTGAGGGCATAAAAGAGGTTTATACTTGTTCTTTTCACTCAATTTGAGAATACAATTGAAGGCAAAATTATGTGACATTGTAATTTTTTTCAAATGTTTCCCAAAGGCTGTTTAATAGATTTTTTCAAAATATTTTCAAACAAAATAATTTTTGATAATGAATTTCTAATAACTCATTTCTGTTTTCTTTTCCATAATGAAAGTAAATCATATTTTAATCCTTAATATTCAATATGCAAGTGCAATTTCAAGGCTTAACTACGCTGAAAAAAAAAAAGTTGACTCAACCTAAAATTTTAAGGCAACAAACTTCAGGACATTTTTGAGTTTACTCAACTTAAATTAAGTCAAGAGCAGTGATTGGGTTGAAAGTTGAGTCAACTCAAAAATGTCCAGAAGTTTGTTGCCTTAAAGGGACATTAACCCCTGAAACACGACCGTGAATGCAAGACGAAGAAGCTCCTGATGAGATGAATATTAAAGTCTCACAATGGTAGATATTCCTAACTGTATTTGTTAAAGTAAACAAATAAATGCGAAATTAAAACAAAACTTTTGTTTCGGCACATTTATAAACGCAACACTAGCTACCATTTTGGATATGCGCATAAAAAACTGGTTAATGGAAATGCCAAGATGTGCATAAATGTAGAAAATGTGCACAAAAAAAAAACATGCGCATAACTGAGTAGGATCAACTTTTTATTCAATAAGAAAAGATGCGCATTGCGCAAAAACTATTATAGAAACACTTTTACCGAATAAATTCCACTATGCGCATTTTGTTTTAAGAGATCATGTGATTAAAAAAATGTGTGTGAGTGGATAAATCAGCAGGCTGAGCACACTATAAAACATCTAAAATGTTGTTTTGGTCATTCTAAAACACCTCAACCATCTCAGTATTAGTGTTATTATATTATTAATGACCTCCAGAATCAAGAGTGTCTGTGTTGCGTGTCTCACACCTTCAAACGCCACCGCGCATTCACTGCATGTCAGTATTGCCCTCTAAAGTCATTTATTAAATGAAGAAAAGATTCCCGCAGCTTCTCCTATCACCGCAAATTCCGCTTTTACAGTTGATATTTGGCGCCAGTTAATCAGGAAGTGACGATTTTGTTCGCTTTGAGTCATTGAATGGAAACGCTGCTTCATTTGCACATCTTTTATGTGGTCGTCCAGTTTTGCGCATAAAGTTAAGTTTTGGATGGAAATATTGCTACTGATGACCCATGTCTCCGAACAATTGTTTTTCCTCTTTCACTTGTTTTAATTATGGTTGGCAACACAACGTGGCATCTCTCTGAACACTGTAACATGTAAAAGGAGTCTTCGAAGCTATCATGCATATTAATGAAGTTGTGCCTCATTCACTATAGAGCGCGCTGATTCTTTCTCTGAGAATTAATGCTGAAAACATTCTTTTTTTCTTCATGAATTAATGCTGAAAACTCAATGACGTCACGTCTCTACGGTGGAATTTACACAATGATCTAATCGCCATAACACACTTAATTTATTTTTAAACCAGATTAACGTATTTGCTCAAAACACAAAAAAAAAAATTGCTTTTTGTGAAATATATGTGTCCTAATAGTGTTTTTAGCAGCATGGGACACATATTTGACTGTCAACAGCTCAAAAAATGAGTTTTGGTGTTTCATGACCCTTTAAAAGTTTAAGTTGAGTGTAGGTTAATAAGGTTGATTTGGGAAGTCATTGTACAACTTGTTTGTTCTTTAGCCAATTGAAAAAAATACAAGTCTTAAAAATTTACCGTAAAAAAATTTAAAACAGTCAGTCAAGCTTAAACAAACAACCATTTCTTTTATAAAAATATAACAAGACATACTGTAAACATATTCCTTTACTTGGGAAATATTTGAACAGGAATAACAATGACACTGGAGGGTGAATAATTTTGCGTTTAACCACTAAAAGACAAACCGGTGCCCTCCTCTCCATATGCCAGATGAGGTGGGATAGTAATCCTTCTGCGCTCTCCAACACACACACCCAGAAGCCCTTGGTCCATTCCTGCGATCACATAGCCTTTGCCGATATAAGTGTCATATGTGTGATTCCTTGAGTAACTGCAACACAAAGGCAAGAATAAAAGGGTCTTTATTGCACGGCTGTTTAGAATACTTAATTCTGATTGGTCAATCACAGCATTTCAAGGTTTTTTGTTTGTTAGCACAGGCTCATATGAGAATTCTGAATAAGCTTGACTTGTCATCGAATACGTTCACATTAGGGATGGGAAGATTAACCGATATGTATCGATACGCGGTCATGCGCGTGCACGATGCGAGTGCATCGGTAGAGCAGCAGAGGATGAATGAAATTTTGGAAGCAAATCGAGATGCATCGGTTTTTGCGAGATGCATCGGTTTTTCCACGATACAGCTTATATTTTTAATATAGAATGTATTTTTTATTTATTAACAAGTGTTGTCAACCTGTTTTTGGCGCATAATTTAATCGACCTACTTAAAGTAAGCCTTAGCAACGGATTTGCGGATGTGTACACTTACACTACAACTGTATCAGGTGTGCGGATGAAGTTAGTGGTGCGCCCTCAGAAAGCGCGAGAAGCAAAACAAACATTTTATTCCCCACTGAGTTTTAAATCTAAAGTATGGCAACATTATGGATTTAAGGATGGACGACATGACAGGACAGATGCAATTTGCAAAAGTGTGCCGCGCATCTGTAAAATACACGGGCAGTATGACTAATCTGAAATCTCACTTGAAGCGGCGCCACTGTGTTGTTGTGAAAGCTCCATCTTCCAGTGGACCTCTATTCTGCCGCCCTATGCGCGGATATAACTGAGGACGCGCCGGAGTCGCGGACCTCTGTTCTGCCGCCCTATGCGCGGATATAACTGGGGACGCGCGTGTGTCGCGGACCTCTATTCTTCCGCCCTATGCGCGGATATAACTGAGGACGTGGGTATCGCGGACCTCTATTCTGCCACCCTATGCGCGGATATAACTGAGGACAAGCGGGCGCTGATGGAGGTGTCGCGGACATAACTGAGGATGCGGGTGGTAAGGGGGGGTGTTGCGGACGCCGCCCTCTCTATACTTCCGCCCTAGGCGGCCGCCTAGGTCGCCTCTATGGACGTGCCGGCCCTGTTCATCTGCAAAGATATTCAGCCTAGTGTCACGGAGAACGAAGGTTTTGAACACCTCCTTCTGTTAATTTTTATTTAATTATAATAATAATAATATTAATAATAATAATAATAAAAATAATGGGCGTCACGGTGGCACAGTGGGTAGTTTGACCACCTCACAGCAAGAAGATTGCTGGTTTGTTATATTTTTATAAGCCTGTTGTTTACAGTGACAGTGATGTTTCAAAGCAGCATAACACTGCTAGTTCACGACCTTAAGTTTTGAATATTCAGTGGCAAAATATATCTTTGTAAAACTTGTTTTCATAGTTGAAAAGTTAAATCACAATTCTTGTTGTGCAATGCTAAACCTTTATGTTGAAAGAGTGCAAATATATATATATTTTAATATATATTGCACTTATACATTCTGTTTATCTTGAAAATACTTAAATAATATGTGCTATATGTTCTAAAATGGCCCTCTACTGTAAACTGACACTCTGGCTCTGAGAGAAAAGCCAGTTTGTAAAAAAAGTCTTGGTTTTGCTTGGTTAATAAATAATCAAACTCATTCAATGGCACAGCATCCTCTTTCACATAATCTCATAAACTTGATCTAATTAGTTAGTGCTGAATTATCGCATCGTATCGTGATATGGGTGTGAATCGTATCGTGTCGCATCGCAATATGTCACAAATGTATCGCTAATATATCAGATCGTATTCTTTGTATCGAGATGCGTATCGGATCGGCATTATAGCTTAGATGCCCAACCCTAGTTCACATCCATATTTATATGCTTGTCTTTCTCCACTGCTCTTTTTGACAGTTTGGCGCCCTCTTGTGACTGAATAATGTGCAGGTTAGTGTATGCTCCATTTAGCTGTTTTAACTTCTACCTGCTTTGCTTTTAACCTTTGTGTGCTATTGGGGATGTTTTTATCCACTCCAGGGTGATTTTGATGCTTCATTTGGCTAGCAGATGAAATGATTTTTGCTGACAAATCTTATTTTGACATGCATTTTGGGAAAATGCTTTGGAATTTTTTGAAAACTCAAAACAATACACTCCGGGCAAATTGACTACCCTTTCGTTATGTTTGTGGCTATTTTTGCCCCATTGACTTCTATTATAATTACGTGTTTTTGTTTGCAAAGCCATGACAGCATTTAATCATGCATTCTTGATTGTTTCTGGTCTTCCCGGTTGGGAAGAGGGTGATTTTTACTATTGATTATAAGTTACAGTCCAAAAAAAGCTTAGTTTATGGTTTTTATATATGATACAGTGTGTGTGTGTGCGTTTAAAAAAACAAAGTGGTGTCATGGAAGTCAATTGGGCAAAAACAGCCACCAACATAATGAAAGTGTAGTAAATTTGAACAACAAACAAGTATTAATGAAAGAATTAATAAACTATTACAGCTCAGAACTATGACTTATGTTTTATTTTACATTTTGTGGCAAGTAGCCATGTAACAAGCAGGATAAAGTACATCCAGGAGGTTGTTTCCGCAGAATAAAGCCCTTCTACAACAGCTTTATCCTGTGATAATAACGGCCCTTATGTACTTTATTCATTCATTTATTCATTTATTTTCCTTCGGCGTAGCCCTTAATTTATCAGAGTTCACCACAGCAGAATGAACCGCCTATTATTCCGGCATATGTTTTATGCAGCTGATGCCCTTTCAGCCACAACCCAGAACTGGGAAACACACATACACTCTTTCACTCACATACACACTCATACACTAAGGCGAATGTAGTTAATCTAATTCACCTATAGCACATGTGTTTGGACTGTGGGGGAGGAACCCCACACCAAATGCAAACTCTACAAAGAAATGCCAACTGACCCAGACGGGACTCGAACCAGCGACCTTCTTGCTGTAAGGCGACAGTGCTAACCACTGAGCCACCGTGCCACCTGAATGTGCTTTATCCCCTACTTAAAACCTGTTTCTGTTCAAATTCAGGGTTTTTCTCACCTGGAATCGAAGAAAGTGCCGTCCAGCAGAGAGCCGTTATAATGATAACGCATGAAGTCTCCAACTTGACTCTTGCGTGGACAAGGATCTGGAAGGTATTCTACCTTTACTGCGATTTCATCTTTGGGGTTATGAAGGTCCAGCAGAACCACATCGAACACCAGAGAAGCCTGAGCGGGGATGTCACTTCCTGTATGAGGAGATAACTGTATGTTGTTATGCTTATTGTGCATTGTTAGTATGCGTTGCTGATGAAATGACTCGCACCATCTCCATTCTCTCCATAGCCCAGGAAAGGTGGCAAGGTGATGATGCGTTTTTCTCCCACACACATTCCTAGAAGCCCCTGGTCCATTCCTGCAATCAGCCAGCCAATGCCCACGTAAGTGTCATAGGTGCGCATGCGTGTGTGACTGCAGTGAAAGAATGACATCAGAATTACCAGTGAGGAAATGCACATAAATATCAAGGGATTTTTCATAATTAAGAGAAAATATATAATTAGAAATAAACCCACCCACCCCAAGGATAATAAACAAATTTACCCAGCAAGCACACAACATCATAAGATATTAAAATCAGGTTAGATTTAAGTCATGATGTCAAGTGACCAAAATTCAATGTCTAGCCTGCGTCCAAGGACAATGTTATCTTAATGTCTAATAACAACGCCAAACTACGTTAATATTTGTTTGATTTTAGGTTGCGTTGGAAAGTGACCAAAATCCATTGTCTGATAGATGTCGTAGTGGTAACGTACACACAACGTCAAGGTGTAACATGATTAGACATTGATATTTGGGTGAATTTCGATTGATTTAGACATTGAAGTTGGCCTGACGTTGGGTCCTGACATCCACCAAATTTTCATTTCCAAACAAAATCCAACCTCCCCACGACATTGGGGTACAATGTCAGTATGACGTCATGTTGACGACCTGTGCCTGCAGGGCTAAGTGCAAATTAACATTTTGCTGTCTTCAAAATTCTTTGAAGAAACAACTCCACTAGAGTTGAACAGTTGAGTTTTACCATTTTTTTAATCCATTCAGCCAATCTCCAGGTCTGGTGGAAGCACTTTTAGCTAAGCTTAGCATAAATCATTGAATTTGATTATACCATTAGCATCTCGCTCAAAAATGACCAAAGATAATTCTTTTTAAAAATTCCTATTTTAACTGTAACTATTCTGTAGTTACATTGTGTACTAAGACTGATGACAAATTGCTACTTTCTAGGCCGATATGGCAAGTAAATATTCTTTAATTTCTGCATATAAATCAAAGAACTTTGCTGCTGTAATAAATAAATAAATAAATAAATAAAATATATTTCATATTTCAAATGCAAATATCACCCATTGTTTTCTAATTGCACTCTATAACTTGCACCTATAACCTTCACATGCTGCAATTGCACTCCTGGTTAGACCTAAACTGCATTTCGTTGCTTTGTACTTGTACATGTATAATGACAGTAAATTTTAATCTAATCTCATATAAATATAATATATATATAAATAATTTGTATTTGTATATATAGTTGAAATCAAAATGATTTGCCTTTCTGTGACCTTTTTTTTTTATATTTCCCAAATGATGTTTACCAGAGCAAGGAATTTTTTCACTGTAAATATTTTTTCTTCTGGAAAAAAGTCTTATTTATTTTATTTTGACTAAAATAAAAGCAGTTTTTAATTTTTGAAAACCATTTTAAGGTCAATATTATAGACCCCCTTAAGCAATATTTATTTTCAATTGTCTACAGAACAAACCATTGTTATACAATAACTTGCCTAATTACCATAACCTGCCTAATTAACCTAGTTAAGCCTTTAAATGTCACTTTAAGATAAAAGTAATCAGTTATTAGAAATGAGTTATTAAAACTATTATGTTTAGAAATGTGTTAAAAACAAATCTTTCCGTTAGACAAATATTGGGGAAAAATATACAGGGGGCTAATAATTCAGGAAGGCTAATAATTCTGACTTCAGGTATACTTAAAATAAAAACTATTTATGTTGTTTTATTAGGTCCACACAAATGATCTCACCTGGAGTCGAACAGCGTGCCATCAAGCAGAGTGCCATTGTAGTGGTAGCGGATATAATCAGACACTTGTACTTTTCGCTCACAGCTCTCCGGCATGTGGTAGGTCTTTATCTGCACCTTGTCTTCTTTGTTCCAAATATCCAACATCAGCACATCAAAGTGAAGGATGGAGTCTGGAGGGATGATGTCACCTGATGGGAAATGACATAAAACTACTGTGTGAGGGGAAAAAAATAATACAAACCTGCTTGGCAGCTCTAGCACCTGCCCATCTAGAACCACAATAAATGCTGTGGTCTTTGTGTTTACTATAAAGGTTGCATTATTAGTTTGCTAGCAGAGTTCAATGCAAGTAACAGTGCAAGGGGAAGTGTGCCACCCTGTCTTTAGTGTACAGGGGTTCTCGAATTAAAAACTCTATTATTATTATTATTATTATTATTATTAATAATAAAAACTCTATATTTTAAAATAACAGATTAAGCTTTAAAGGCAGATCTGTTGTAAGCTCTGAGGCTGTTGACTGGTCTTACATGCTTCATGGTGAATTATTATGTTAACATTAATTCAGCACAATTAAAAATAATCTATATTTGCAATACAATGTTGTAAACATTCATTCATTCATTCATTTTACTTCGGCTTAGACTCTATTTCAGAGGTCGCCACAGCGGAATGAACCGCCAACTATTCCAGCATATGTTTTACGCAGTGGATGCCCTTCCAGCTGCAACCCAGTATTGAGAAACACCCATACATACTCACATTCACACACACACTCATACACTATGGACAATTTAGTTTTTCAATTCCCCTATAGGGCATGTCTTTGGACTGAGGGGGAATCCGGAGGCCCCTTAGGAAACCCACGCCAACACGGGCAGAACATGCAAACTCCACACTGAAATGCCAACTGGCCCCGCAGGGACTCCAACCAGTGATGGTCTTGCTGTGAAGCGACAGTGCTAACCACTGAACCACTGTGTTGCCAAAATCTAATTTAATAGAGGAATTTATGCAGAAAACTACATTACCCATGATGCTGTGCAGAAAATTCCACCAATCAGATTGGTTTCTATCCACTTGTGTTAATCCCTGAAATCAGTGGTGTTAATGTGTATGTTGAAGTAAGAGAAATGAGCGACTAAAATGATAATAGCCTGTCTTGTATAGAAAGTATTTTATTTTATAGTATATGTTAGTTATGAATAGGATTTTTTTTCAAATAGCTCTTATGTCCAGTGTTGAGTTTGCATTTGTGAATAATCTATATAGCACCATTGTACTGCGACACATGACATTTTGTTCCTCTATATGTCCACACATGTAGCAGAATAACAATATAGCTCGACTTGTCTTGACAAATATCAAATTAAAATCCTTTAATTCGCAAAAAAACATCTTTACACTTGCATGAGGTGCACTGTGAACCCTAATGTTGACTTTACTTAAACAATTAAGAAAAATTTACTAAACTGAACTTAAAGTTTTGCAATTAACTTAAAGTTAATTTAATTTATGTACCATGAAAATGCATAAACTTAAGATTTTTAATGTAGTCAGCTCAAAATCATAATTAATCCTTTGAAAAAAAAAATGGTCATTTTCACAAATGTAGTCTTGACTGTAAAATTCTAATATGTGCAAGGTCTTCTTATTTTTTTTGTTTAAAATTTTTTTTTTCATAGTATATTATTACACACACACGCACACATATGCATATATATATATATATATATATATATATATATATATATATATATATATATATATATATATATATACACACACACACACACACACACACACACACACGATAATGTGTAAAGTAATGAAGTCTCCCAAAACGTGCATATCTAAGTTTAGTGCTAAGTTTGGTGAACTGAACAATTTAAGATTTAAGTATAGTCTACAAAACCGGCAAGTTAAATAAACTGAAATGTCCAAGTTTTGTTTCTGTGTGCAGTTTGCATGTTTTTCCCCGCGTTTTCGTGGGTTTCCTCCGGGTGCTCCGGTTTCCCACACAGTCCAAAGGCATTGGGTACAGGTGAATTGAGTAGGCTAAATTGTCCGTAGTGTATGAGTGTGTATGTGTTTCCCATTGATGGGTTGCAGCTGGAAGGGCAACCGCTGCATAAAACATATGCTGGATGGGTTGGCGGTTCATTCCGCTGTGGCGACCCCCAATGATTAAAGGGAGTAAACCGAAAATAAAATTAATAAATTAATATATTTAGCTCTGTCACATCCCATGAAGCACCAATATATTAATTCAATACTCCTAATGCCTTCAAAATACTTACAAATTCCTTTACATGTGTGACAACAAAACTTGAAATTAAATTAATCCATTTATTTTGTTACTTTGGGTTTTTCCCTCATTATAGCTATTGTTGTTGTTTTTTTTTTTTGTTTTTTTTTGCTTTATTAGGTTCATCTTAGGTCAGACAACAAAATATACATCATATTGATAGATACACTGAAATGATTCACCAAACAAGAAATTATACATATTTATAACAATTAGACACTAAATAAGTATATAAATTATAAGGTAAAATACCACATGTATAGAGCTATTATGTTTTATACTATTGTCATTTTGATCTTATATTTCTTTTGCTTTAAATCAAAGTTTGTGATGGAATTCTGCTCTCGGGTAGGCTTATAACACTTTAATAAAGGCATTTTTTTAATCCCAGTGGATAAAAATAAATAGGAAAATACTTCCAGAGTGGACTACAAAAACAATGGCATTTAAAATAATATATTTTTAATTAATATTTAAATATTTTATATATTTTGATAGATCAATAAAGCTTATATGTGCATCTTAACAAACCATCACATTAATCCAAGGTTTGATCATCATTGCATGTAATTATGAACATACTTGTGCTTGTTTCAGCTGAATTAGGCAGACACACACACACACACACACACTTCAACTAGTTCTGACAAGTGTACATGGCTCAACATTCTTCATCAGTTCATTCATTCTCTCCCATTTGTTCAACTTCCCCCGTTTCTCTCTCTCTCTCTCTCCACCTCTGACTCAGCAGGAGTGCAGGAGAATCATGGGAAATGTAGGCTTCATATATTAGCATCTCACCTAGTGCTATATGTTCCAATGCAAACGTGCTGAGGCATCCACACTGACAGACATTCATGCATGATGTAGGACATGTGTGTGTGTTTACCGTAACCATCCTTTCCGTAGGCGAGCTGTGGAGGGATTTTGATCATCCATCGCTCATTAACACACATCCCCACTAAAGCTTTGTCCATCCCAGCGATCAGCTGCTTCTGGCCGACAAACACGTTATAGGTGTTTCCACGGTCATAACTGTAAAACAAATATACATAAATGCATCAACAGACATATTGTGTAGTACAAACTATTTTATTTTATTTTTTGTTTTATTTTATTTCTAAAAAAAAACATGGTTTATGCTTAAAATAATATATTCATTTGCTAAAGATTAAGAACAAACAACTTAAAAGGTATATTTCCTTAAAGTCACATTATCTGACTATTTTCTGTACTCTGATTTCCTTTATCAGACTTTTAATGAAATTAAAATGCAAAGATAAAAGATTTTATGTAATCACGCATTTGCAAAATTAGTGCAATAGAGATTTTCCCGCACAATACCTTTACTTTTAAGTGTGCATTTTAAATGCATTTAAACCATGTTTAATTAACTAGTTTAAATTATTAACATCTAGTCCTTTAAAATAAATGCTCTATCATACAGCACCCATTTTACACCCATGCATGCACATACATCATTCATTCATTGACAAATTCACTCACTCACACACATCCATTCATTCATTCATTGATCCACGTATGCATTCATTCAGCATGCTATATCTATTGGCAAAACAGTAAACTAAGCTCTTGCATAACTAAATGTCCACTATTGTGGGCTAATTGATGAAGTCTGCTCTGCCTGCATGCGTGGCTTGAGCTCAACTGACTGTACACTAAAAACAAGCGCAAATGGCTTCAGGCCAGGTGAGGAGATGAACAATGGAGGTCAAAACATTTTTTACTTTTTTTTTTTTTTTTTTTTTTTGTACATACCTGGAGTCAAACTTCTTTCCATCAGGAAACATGCCGATGTAATGATACCGAACATAGTCTCCGGATTTGACCGCCCGCTCGCAGCGCTCCGGGGTGAAGGTCTTCTCTATCACGATGTCATCTAACGGTACCGGCGGCGCGTTGCAAGCCACAAAAGTCACTAGGAAAGCCAGGAGAATCATCTGTATCAACCGTATCATCTTCCGTTTGTGTTGTGCAAAGGAATGGCTCGTTGCTGCTGTAATGCGTTGCAGCAGCTTCTCTAACGCGATTGAAGTGTGTAGACGTGGTGGACGGATCCTCAAACTCCCTCAAACTTCTTCCGATGTGTCCGGTGTCGCTTTACACGGGGAACGGAGATTACGCAGGAAAAGCTTCGTATTTGCAGGGAAATGCGGAAACGCGGGTCTGGAGGCTGGAATGCTTTATACGTGGCACACAGAGGGGCGGCTCGCGCTTATATGATGGGGGTTTATAGGGCTGTAATTATATTGAGCACCCACCATGCATTGCAACAGGACTTTTTGGTACTTTTAATATTATTGTAGATCATTATACGTCTTCTTATTATAGTTTTAGTTAATGCATATCAGGTCAGATGTTCTTTTATCAAATCAATGCTTGTTTTCACTTTAGTTTCTATGTAACTTGTTTGTTGTAACCATTTGATTTAAATGTTTTCCAGAGCTAATTGAGCACATAAAGTAGCCTACATTAACAAAAATGATGGGTTGTCATAATACTAAATCAAATATGGATTAACTCATTGTTAATATATTTAATTAACTTAATGAATAATATTGTACATGATGGATTAAAAAAATTGAACAGCTTTGCTAGTGTTAATGTAAAGTGATTTTGCAGCAAATTAAAAATAACAGGTTCATAGGTCCCTACCAATGTCAAGAGCAATGTCATACAAATTTATTAAAATATATTACTTTTAAGTTTATTCTTCTTAATTTTTGCCAAATGGATGTATTAGTTTAATTAAGGAATAGTGTTATGTTAAAAAAAAGCTTTATAACTGACAAAAATAAAGTTTGATAAAGACTTCCATTTATTTTAACCATAGTGCAAATGAAACGTATTAACTACAGTAGGTGGAGTACAGGCTGTAGTTTTTCGAACAATAATTTAAATAGAAATTTAACATGCTCTGAGAGATTAGGAGAACTGATAGATTCAATTATTGGTGGGTTGGTTGATATTGGGGACCAGTTCCCTCTGTTAATGCTAATTCTGCGCCCCTGTTTGGGTTTGTCAATATTTAACAACCCAGCATTTTTTTATTTTATGTGTTTTAGTGAGTAGCCAACATTTAAATTGTATCATCACATCAAAATTGCCCTAAAACTATTGAATAACACCCATTCTTGTTTTAGGACAATCTTTAAGTTCAAACATTGGCATAACAAAAAAGTTGGTGGACCTAAAAAGTCTACTTCCAGTACAACTCTTTAAACTCTTACAACCTAAATGTTGTCGACAGCAGTGAGATCTGATGAATAAACAGCATTTGTTTGTAAATCACAGCAGTGCTGTTTTTGCTTCTTAGAAGAAATCTCATTTTGTTGTCTCCAATAAAGTAATCTTATTACACAATTGATTTTATTTAAAGCATGCAAATGTTGTGCACTTTAAAGTTTCAAATATTCTGTTGAACAAAAAGAAGATAATTTGTAGAAAGCTGAAAACCAGGAACTACAACCAATAGAAGTCAATGGTTAGAGGTTTCCAGATTTCTTCAAAATATCTTTTTTAGTGTTCAGCAGAAGAAAGAAAGGGTTTAAAACTAGCAAATGATGAGTAAATGATGAATTAAAAATTTTGGGTGAACTATCCCTTTAAGCTTTGGTTATTTAACTTTTACAACCAGCCACAACAACAACAGAAATGTCCACTACAGTACAACTCTTGTAATCTGCTAAATATCGTCCACAGCAGTGAGTTAACTAATGAATAAACAGAATTTAATGGTAAATCACGGCAGTGTTGTTTTAGCTGTATGGGGGAAGGGAGCGCACTGTGGGAAACTTTGGGGACGTGGAGAGTCTTGCGGGCGGGTCTTGTTCTCTCCAACTCCTGCTACTTTTTTGGGGGGGTTGCATCTCCATAAGCCACCATGGCTTCCTCATTCCATTGCATCCGAATTGCATTATTAATAATCTCCTTTTCCGTTTGCGTCCTCGCGCAGTATGAGAAATATAACTTTCGCAGTTTCCCACGACACGAGCTGATGCCGCTGGACTCCGCGTACCGACATGCGTTAGACCTGTACAGTGAGGAGAAGTGGAAGGAGAGCGTGGAGTTTCTGGAGGTCAGTCTGCGGCTCTACCGGCTGCTCCGGGACAGCGAGGCCTTCTGTAACCTCAACTGCAGCTCGGTCAGACTCGACGATGAGACCCGTTTCAGCGACTTTCCCGAGCTGCAGGCCTTCGGTAATGTGATGAAGAGAGCTCAGTGTTTGAAGAGGTGCAAACAGGGGCTACCAGCCTTCAGACAGACCCTCCCCAGCCGGGACACCGTCGATGAGTTTGATAAACGGGAGCCATACAAGTACCTGCAGTTCGCCTACTTCAAAGTGAGTAACGTAACGTTGCTGCTTTACTCACGTTTATTTAGTATACGTTTATTCATAATCAGGTAGCCTATTAATGTTAAGTTAAGTTAAGTTAATGTAAAGTTAACCATACATAATTTATGTATGGAATGATATGTATGGATCATGTTTCACACTTTACCTTAATGTTTCATAAATTAATGTATTTACTAACATGAACAAATTATGAATAATGTACAGCATTTATTAGTAATAGTTCAACATTTATAATGCATTATTAAAATCCAAATTTATGCTTGTTAACATTAGTAATGCACTGTGAGTTTACACGAACTTAACAAACAGCTGCTGTATTATCATCAACATTGACCAACATGAACAAATACTGTAATACATGTATTTTTCATTGTTTGTTCATGTTAGTAAATGCATGATTTAACATTAACTAATGAAACTTTATTGTAAAGTGTGACCCACTATGGTAACACTATAATAATGTTGCATTTGTTCATGTTAGTTTATAACCAACTAATAATGAACAATAATTGCATTAGTTAATGCAACAATAAAAAACTAATGCAACAATAGCATTAGTTAATTATAGTTAAACATTTACTAATGCATTATTCAAATCTAAATTCATGCTTGCTTGCTTCAAATTGAGTCTACTATACTTTACTCACTTTTATTTAGTACATTTGTTTATAATCAGTTTTTATGCTAATGTAAATACTTCATCAAAGGTACACCATACAAAATTTTGGTCACACTTTACAATAAGATTGCATTAGTTAATATTTACATGAACTAATTATCAATAATAATCAATCAGCATTTATTAGTCATAGATCAATATTTACTAATGCATTATTAACATTTTTTTTCATGCTTGTTACCATTAGTTAATGCACCGTGAGTTTCATTTTGTTACCTTTGACATAGATGAATGAATATTGTAATAAATGTATTGTTCATTGGTTGTTTATTTTAGTAAATACATTATCTAACATTAAATATTCTTTGATTATCTAGAAACCTCTATGTCTCTAAAATTAAAAGTGTGTCTGTTAGACTCAGCCTGGACAAAATAAATGTAATATGCCTCTTTGTAAAATAACTTTATGTTTTATGGCCTTATTTTTATTATTATTTTTATTTATTTATTAGTTTTTTTTTGTTTATTTAATTACAATTTCACTTTAATTTATCATGTGGAGTTAGGATTCAAATTACATAAATCAATGTAACTTTCAATAAAAAATATATATTGTTGAAGTCAGAATTATTAGCCCCCCTGAATTATTAGCCCCCCTGAATTATTAGCCCCCATTTATTTATTTTTTTCCCAATTTCTGTTTGACGGAGAGATTTTTTCAACACATTTCTAAACATGATAGTTTTAATAACTTATTTCTAATAACTGATTTACTAGAAATGAACTTTAAGGGGCTAATAATTTTATGCCTAAAATGGTGTTTTAAAAATTAAAAACTGCTTTTATTCTAGCTAAAATAAAACAAATAAGACTTTCCCCTGAAGAAAAAATATTATCAGACATACTGTGAAAATTTCTTTGCTTTGTTAAACATTATTTGGGAAATATTTAAAACAGAAAAAAAATCAAAGGGGGGGCTAATAATTCTGACTTCAACTATATTTATAAAACTAACATTATATCATACAACCCTATTGTAAAGTGTTACCCAAGCTTGTAACACTACCTATTTTTTTTAGTAGAGATTATAGACCGTTGAAATAAGTTTTGTAGAAATGCTTCAAGAATACTATGGTGGTATATGTGAGCAAAAATTCATGGTATTGATATCAGGTTCAAACACAAATGGTTTTGTTGTTGTATTTTCATATTTTTCATACTGTATAGATGGTAGTGCTACACAACAATATAGACCCATATTAACTTTATAGAATAACTTTAGAGTAAAACTTTTTATTGCATGTGTTGAACCAATTTCAAGCACAATAAATCATAATGCTCAATAAACGCTTAATAAACAATAAAAGTTTAAAGATTAATCTGAAAAACAATCAATGATTAATCAACTAATCACATTATTAAACATTAGATTAATTGATCTTTTAAATAATGATCTCCAGCAGGTCTAGATAGTACAGATTGTTTTGTTGTTGGTATTATTATGTTTTATTCAGAAGAGTTTTGAGATTTAGAAAAAATGTCTGACAAAATGTATTATTCTGAATTATTTTAGAGTGATAATTTGGCCAAAGCGGTATCCGCTGCACACACATTCCTGCTGAAGCATCCTGATGATGAGATGATGCAGAGAAACATGAACTACTACAAGAGTTTACCAGGAGCTGAGGACCATCTGAAAGACCTGGAGACCAAATCATACGAGGTGAGACCCCCATACACAAAACACTGGGCAGATCAGTCCTCATAATCATCTGCTGGATAATGCAACTTGAGAGGTACTGATATTAAAGAAAAATTATGACAGGGCAAATATTCGAGGTGTTTTACATTTTTAGCACTGTTGGCCCTTTTGGGTTAAATTGCTTAGGGCCCCAAAATGATTAAATCTGCCTCTGCCTTTAACTGTATATAAAATGTATCTACAATAATATTGCATTACTACATTTTTGCCTCGTATCAAGTATGAAATGACAGTAATAAACATGCTGTTTAAAGTCATGCTACTTCTTTATCTTCTGCTTCAGATGCTGTTCATTCGGGCCGTGCGAGCGTATAATGGAGATAATTTCCGAACGTCGGTGTCAGATATGGAGCTGGCACTGAGAGACTTTTTTAAGGTATACGATGAATGTATCGCCGCATCAGAAGGATCCAGACAGATTAAAGACTTTAAAGACTTTTACCCGTCCATCGCAGGTTGGCATGATAAACACACACTCTTTTATGTCCTCTGTAGCGTAAGATAAAACACACTGTAATAACATGCTTGTTTTTTGCCTTTAGATCATTACTCGGAGGTTCTGGAGAGGAAGGTTCGCTGTGAGAGCGAGCTTACGCCGGTTGTTGGAGGATTTGTTGTTGAGAAATTTGTGGCGACTATGTATCACTACCTGCAGTTTGCCTATTATAAATGTGAGTCAGCAAAGTTGTGCTTTTGAACTAATTTTGTGAGACATAACAGTGATGTGTGAAGATGTTTTGGTTCAGTAAGATCTATTTAAGATAATAGAGAAGCCTTTTATGCTTGCGAACATTAGATATATTTGATTATAATATATCAAAAACAGTAATACTGTGAAATGTGGCAATTTATAATCACACTTTGCTATACTTCAATCTGTAATTGTTGGATTCCTTAATGAACTTAAGTTCAAAAGAACTAACCCAAGCTTATGAAAATATACATTTAAATTATAATTTTAAAAATATATAAATTATATAGAGAGAGTGAGAGAGAAATATTTATTAACATTATAATGAATATACAGTCAAAGTTATAGGGCCTCCTGTGAATTTTTATTCCTCTTTTAAATATTTCCCAAATGATGTTTAACAGAGCAAGGAATTTTCTGGAGAAAGTCTTATTTGTTTTATTTTGGCTAGAATAAAAGCAGTTTTTAATTTTTTTCAAACCATTTTAATATCAATATTATTAGCCCCTTTAAGCTATATATTTTTTGATTGTCTACAGAACAAACCACTGTTATAAAATAACTTGCCTAATTACCGTAACTTGCCTAATTAACTTAGTTAAGCCTTTAAATGTCACTGTAAGCTGAATACTAGTATCTTGAAAAACATCAAGTAAAACATTATGTGCTGTCATCATGACAAAAATCAAATAAATCAGTTATTAGAAATGAGTTATTAAAACTATTGTGTTTAGAAATGTGTTGAAAAAATGTCCTCTCCGTTAAACAGATATTGGGGAAAAGAATATATAAGGGGGCTAATAAATGATTCAGGAGGGCTAATAATTCTGACTTCAACTGTATAGTGAATATATTTATATATTTCACAAAGAAAAAAAAAATTGCTCCTAAAACATTTGAACAAAATGACAAGATCATCAGCATTCAATTAAACTATCAAAACATGATTTTACATACATAGAAGGCTTATTAAATGCAGGTAAAGTCTACTGTTATGTTGACAAAATTATAAAAGGTGTCATAATATAGGTGAAATTATATTCAAACTTTCATCAGTGTTGGGTAAGTTTCTTTAAAAATGTAATTAATTACTAATTACATAATTAAAATCGTATTTTAATTACATTTTTATTGCAATGTTTGAGAAGTAACTCAGTTACTCAATAAGTTATTTAATTACTTGAAGAAACACTATAAATTCAACGTATAAATGCACTAGATATAAATCTTAACACCTCATAGACAATAGAAATTATCTCTTTTAATTCTTTAAATCAGAGCCAAACAGGACAATTAATCTTTATTATAAAATGTAACACTTTAAGAATAATAAACATTATATGTATCAAAAGACAAGATATTTTAAAGCAATGGCATGACATTTCATGCATACCATATATTGACATACATTTCTGATGCAGTTCATTGCTTCTCAAGCATGTTCAGTCTACTTGATAAATGAATTATTCTGCTTCCTTTAACTGATTGATCTGAACTGCTGAATTCATGTACAATATATAAACAAGTACATTATAAGATTCTGTCAATTAAATTACCTGAAAATGACAGGTAATCTCCTACTTTTTCTGCGAAAAAGTAATCTAATTACAGTAGCTAGTTACTTTGTAATTAATTAAACTTTGCAAAAATTAAACAACATATTTATTCTGACCTAAAATACATAAATCAATAAGGGATCATATTAAATTATAATATATTTTAAATGTATTATATACAAATGGGTAAAACCTATTTGTTCAAAACATTATTCAAACCTATTTGTTTAAAACATTTAAACCTATTTGTTCATCCGGTGATGTTCAAAAAAGTGGCACAAATTTGACAGTCCTTATTTTTGGGGCTACACTGTGATTTTTAATGTTTTCGCCAATTGATTCTTGTTCTGAACACGTCTAACCATTCAAAAAATAAAGCTCACATTTTTGTCCTTATCTTCCTAAATCTTCATAAAATGATTACCTCTTTTCTCTCTCCTTCAGTGAATGACCTGAAGAACGCAGTGCCGTGTGTGTCCAGCTACATGCTCTTTGACCCCAGTGATGAGGTGATGAGGAATAACGTGGAATATTATCGCTTCCACAGAGAAAAATTTGGCCTCGACGATGAGGACTTCTTACCTAGAGCGGTGTGTGTCTCTCAAATCATGATAAATAAAAAATAGTTTTTTTATTAAGGTAAAGTCGGTTATATTTGCACATTTCTTCAGTGAACATGTGACAAACTCCCTATATTGTTTACCATGCTACTTCGAATATTCGGTCTGAAATCACATGTAAATAGGATTTCACTGTTTACAATTGGCAAAGGATACTTTTCTGAAGTTGTGTTATTAAGGAGAAAGTCTGAATATAAAACCAACTTTACCTCAATACTTAATATTTACTTATTTATTTAATTATTTAATATTTACCTCTCAGTGGTACTAATAATACACGCACCCTCAATAGGAAGCAGTGCGGTATCATAATCAGACGACGCTACAAATGCAGATGCTGGAATTCGCCAAACAGAAGTTCATGCCAGATGATGAGGTGAGAGTTATTTTTTATTATATTATTATTACTATTATGCAAGAAAGAGCATTTACAAAGACACAATATGAACATATGATATAATACAAGAGATAAAACGGGTCACGTAAAAAGAATCCCAGCAAATTATATAAGATTAAAAGATTTACATCAAGAAAGAGTTTTATATGCATGAGTTTTTGAGGAGTTCACATATAAATCAAAACGTTTATGGATGTCAAATGTATACGTTTATGGATGTCAAATGTAGCCAAAATAAGCAATGAATTAATAATACATTTACAATGAGAGGGGTCTAGGTTCAGAGAGTATGAGGTAGAATACAATATTTGAGGATATACAAAAGTTAATAAAGTATTTAAGTCAACACTTTACAGTAAGTACACTGCCAAAAAGAGGTGAGAGTTTCTTGTTTTATTTGACAGGGTTTTTATATTAATCTTACTTCTTGTAGTGCTGTTTGTTTTCCACTTGAGGGCGCAATGTGCTTATTTATTTCACCCTCAGAAGTTCTCACATTTAAACCAAGGGTTTCCAAACTCAGTCCTGGAGGGCTGGTGTCCTGCGTAGTTTAGCTCCAACTTGCCTCAACACACCTCCCTGAAAGTTTCCAGTATACCTAGAAAGAGCTTGATTATCTAGCCCAGGTGTGTTTAATTGGGGTTGGAACTAAAATATGCAGGTCTGGAGTTTGCATGTTCTCCCATTGTTCGCGTGGGTTTCCTCTGGGAGCTCCGGTTTGACATGCGATATAGGTGAATTGAGTAAGCTAAATTGGTCGTAGTATATGTGTGTGAATGAGTGTGTATGGATGTTTCCCAGTGATGGGTTGCAACTGGAAGGGCATCTGCAGCGAGTGCTGGATAAGATGGATAAAACATGTGCTGGATAAGTTGGCGGTTCATGGGTGACCCCAGATTAATAAAAGGACTAAGCTGAAAAGAGAATGAATGAATGATATATATTATAACACTTTACAATAAGGTTCATTTGTTAATGCATTTACTAACATGAACTAATCATGAACAACACATGTACAGCATTTATTAATCATAATTGAACATTTACTAATGCATTATTAACATTCAAGTCCGTGCTTGTTAACATTAGTTAATGCACCATGAGTTAACATGAACTAACAATGAACTACTATATTTTCGTTAACTAACATGAACAAATACAGTAGTAAATGAATTGTTCATTGTTTGTTCATGTTAGTAAATGCATTAATTGACATTAACTAATGAACCTTATTGTAAAGTGTGACCATATATATATATATATATATATATATATATATATATATATATATATATATATATATATATATATATATATATACATATATATATATATATATATATTATTTAAAAAATAAACAAATTTGTCACATATATCATAAGAAAAAAGAATTCTGTTAAAGATAAAAAATAATTAAAAACTGCAGTCAGAATTTGTCCATCTGAAAAATAAAAAATAAAACATGAATATTAATAATTAATAATTCTAATCTTTTTTTGTTAAAAAAGTACATTTTGAAAGTTTATAAGAAACAATGATAACAAAATAGTCTAATTAGTATAAAAATGAACCTTAATATGGGCTGATTTTAATGCTTTAAACATTATTATAGTTATTTTGTTTTAAGAAAAATCCAAGATTCAAAATAAAAGTTACTTGTAGTGAAAGATGACTTCACTTGCGTCAGATTCGGATGATTCTTTTTTTTTTTTGCACAACTAGGCGTGGACTATAATTGTTTGCATTTTTTGAAAGCCGACATTGATGCCTTCACAGTTTATGCTGGCATATCGGTCAAAATAAGACAAATGAGCTCATGTATGGGACAAATTTTGGACCTTTTATGAGTGGGGGGTGGGTCTTTTGAATTACTCAAACCCCCCCTGGCCTGTTTATGAGGACTTTCCACGGACGTAATGATTTTTCTACTGTACAGACTGTATATTATACCAAAGCGTACCTACTATGGATGTCAATAGCAGACAATGTAATGTCCCTTTAACTTGAATAAACCTCAAGAGGTGGTGGCAGACAAAATAAAAATATACACAGATTTTACAACAAGCCTCATTCTCTCTCTAACTTTTCCTCCAACTCTTTTTCTTCCTCCAGGGTGAAGTTGTAGAGTTTCTTGATGAATATCTGGATGCTGGGGATGAATAACTGATTGTGTGAGTTTGAAATAAATGTGAAAAAGACCAGAAAGGTATTCCTCGTCCTGTAGTGTTGTTGCTGTTGTATTTATTTAGGGTTTGGTGATTGGAATTGTTGATATTTTTAGTTTTTACTCATTATTTTAAAAAACGTCCTAGCACAGCACAGTCTAAACTCGTGCACCACAAGCCAAAAGATAATATATCTGAATCTCAGTCCCTGTCAACTTACTGTATCTCAGAGAAAACAATGTTCTGTGTTTTTATTTTCTCAGATTGCTTTAATAAAGACTTGAATACAGTAAAAATAGTGATGTCGGATCTCTATTTAATCTCAATGCATCTTATCGTACCACACTGTAAGAAATGTAATGACAAAAAGTCAAGACAATGACTAGTTTTATGTTGCTTTAACTTACTTTAATAACTTTATATATACACTGTAAAAAAAAATCCATAATTTTACAGTTTATTTCCAGCAGCTGGGGGGCCATAAAAAGCCGTAAAATAACAGCCGTTAAATGACAGAAATGTACCAAAAGATAACGGATATTAAATTACGGAAATTTACCAGAAATTTAAATTTAAGGAAATTTCTGTAATTTAATATGTGTTATTTTATGGTAAATTTCTGTAATTTACACTTCAGCTGCTGAAAATAAACCATATATATATATATATATATATATATATATATATATATATATATATATATATATATATATATATATATACACTTATAATGTTCTTTTGGCACACGCTTGCATTGAATAATATACTGACACAGCTCTGATAAATTGTAATAAGCAATTAAATTAATAATGATAGCTCATGGATAAAAGGTCAACTAGGTGGTTAAAAGTTGCGAATGCCTCTTAAAGGGATCAAGAAATGTTACACATACACTGTATACCCAATAAGTTAAAGTAACTCAAACCATTTGAAGAAACCAATGGCAACAAACCATTTAAGTTCAGAAACTAATCCTAGTGAGTACTGTGAACATATTCTGTTTGAGTAAACGAAGTAATCTGAGCACAGTAAAACCCGATAAATGAAGAGAACTCGAACCAACTGAGGACTGTAAAACCCAACAAATTAAGGCAACTCAAACCGTTTGAGGAAACAGATTGCAACAAACCATTTGAGTTAAAAAAAAACAAATCTATACAAGTACTGTGAACTAACTCAATTTAAGCTGAAGTAATGAGGTGTTTATTTAGCTCATTACCTTCAGCACTGAGTTGAAAACTCTTTTCAACTTACAGTGAACTTTGAGTTAACTACACTATTTCATTTGATAAAGTTACTGTTGGGTTTTACAGTGTATGTATCAAAACAAAAAAGTAATAATGACACCACATTTCTTTTATATAATATAAAATAATGTATATATTCTTTCATATTTTATTATTTTGCAAATACACTGGCATAACAAAACAAAGTGTATTTACAATTTCTCTGCTTCTGAACTGATTTATACAGAACTGCTGAGCTTATGCACAGTATTTTAGGCGAATATATTTTAAGTAACTGTAATAAAATTCCCTAAAAATGAAAAGTAATCCCTTACTTTACTTTTAGAGTGGAAAAGTAATTTAATTACATTAACTAGTTAATTTGTAACTCATTACACCCAACACTGCTCAACACTTTCATAATGCTGCACATTAATGGTTTATTTATGTCAATTGTCTACATTTGTGTTGTTTTAAAGAGCACATATTTTACCCCTTTTACAAGCCTTTGGTGTCTCCAAAATGCCTCTGTAAGTTTAAACTCAAAACACCCATCAGATCATTTAATATAGCCTCCAGAATCTGCTCATTTTGGTGTCTGACTACACGGTAGCTGTTTTTGTAGCCTGTGGCTTAAAATGCAAATGAGCTGCTTCTCCCCGCCCACCATTCCCACATGCGTGTCTGCTTCTCATTATGCTATACGTCAGATAAACAGCAGCTAGTGATAGAGACAGACTCAGATATACAGCTCATTAGTTAAAAATACCAAGTGAGTTTATTTGATGTATTTGTGGGGGAGTTTATTTAAGCCTTTCTGAAATGATGAGTCGCACTCAAATGCTATTTGCAGTACGCACACACACACACACACACGCACATATGGGTGTTTACTGACACCATGCAGCCGTGATGATTATAGCGGTTAAGAATTAACGTAGACTAACCATATTCCGTACACAACGATGTTCCGTACAGATGACCTTTTAACGTTAATCTCTGAATAAATACTTATGGGTCGTAGGCAAGCTATATATCTGTGTACTCTTTAATTCTCACTCTTTCAGCCCCAACCACAACAGAGACATTCCTACTATATGTTTCTGAGTAAAATCAGTAAGTTTGCTACGTCCACCTAATGCGCTTGAAAATAGAAAGTGGGCAAGCTTAAAGTGCGAGTGTCGCCTGGGAGGGGAGACATTTAAAGCCACGACAATATGCTTTTGCATTTAATTTATGCATCACACGTTATTACAGTCTTTATGAAGTGAATATTATGTTATCTCAAATTGTTAAATAAGTTATCTTTTGTTAAATAAATGCTTTGAAATGGGGATATTTAAATGTCAGTTGTGGGTGATGACCGCATGGCGCAACTCTCCGCCTGAGAGACAGGCTGCAAACGCTGTTTGGATCCTCCTTTTGCAGTGATGATGTTTATATTCATAAAAGGTCAGTCAAGTTAGTGTTAATGTGCATGAATTTATTGTTTTAATATTTTAAATTGTCATGCTGTAATAAAATAAACATGATATAAAAAGTAAATGATTTTAAAGCTATTTTATTTCAAACTTTCATAAAAGAGTTATTTAATATATCATTAACTTCAAGTTAAACACAGTAATAGTATATTCTGACATAAGATTTTAATAAGACTTCAAACAAAGCCCATTTTTGCCAGTAAATTAAAGTGATGCGCCCTGTACGGAACACTATTTTAGTCGTGTACGGAACACCGTTAATACCTATCATCTTCCGTACACATGCGAAGGCGGTACTTATCCCATCTTTTCTCAAAAACTACTGGTCCAAAAGACATCAATCAAGATTTGTATTGTGCAATAGGTATTCCCCCAGAGAATGAACACACATGCATGCTTATCTGGCTTACAATGACGGAGGAGTGGTCGTTTGAGTGCGCTGAATAGCGAAAAGTGTACGGAACATGGTTAGTCTACGTTAGATAGCGATTTTACTGTCTTCATCGCAAACATGCTCTGTTTTAAAAACGTTTTAAACTTATGAAAACACAGAGAGTTGGAACAGATATTTTAATCTCATGTTATTATAGAAACATGGTGCCTGTCAATCAATTCAGTGGGCGGGGAAACTGCACTCTTACCTCATGTTGCTGTGGGCCTCAAAATCACTGGGATTTAGGTCCTATTTTAATGTTAGGAAATTAAAAAAAGAGACTTGTTGTGTTCATATCACCCCAGTATAACAGTGGATACACTATACCTACACACAGTTCTGTCCAAACAGCTTACAAAAGTTTATTTTCATCATAGGTGCTCTTTCAATTAATATTTTGTTACCTCAAAGTGTTACACCATCTTCATCCTGTATTTTCTGGATTTCATTTTTATTATTTTTTTTGCTTATGTCAAGCCTCACACAATCTGTTTGTACCTAATGTTAGCACTAATGTGTTGTTGATAACTTCACAAATGTTCGCTTGGATGTTGTTCAAGATATGTGTAAAATGGTGTTGCATGGAAGAAATTTACAAACCTGTCTTTATTCAAAGGCTGAAGTATTGCCTTCCAAAGCCATAAAGACTCCAAACAGACTCAATTTAAGAGCAAAAGACTAAACACTGAACCTTCAGCAAAACACTTTAAATTTAAAGGGAAAGTTCACCCAAAACTGAAAATTCTGTCGTTATTTACTCACCCATCAACATGTTTAACTTTTTTTCTTCTGTTGAACACAAAAGAAGATATTTTGAAGAAAGCTGGAAAGCGGTAAGCGTCGAGTTAAATTGTATTTGTTTTTCTTACTAAGTCAGTAGTTCAATAAATAGTATGTAAATTTTTATTCTGGGGGTACTGTCACTTTAAGAGAGCATGCGCGCTTTCGGTTTTTTTAATCCTTCGTCTTTCTACATCTCCACCGGCCCTTCTTTCCTTTTCTCTGTGGGATTTTCCTACTATGGTGTGATAAACTGCACAGATACTCAATGTTCAAACACATTTAAACAAGTCTCTGTTCTCCCGCTGGGTGAGTGTTTCAATCCAGGAGTGTTTCGTTTTTGTTTTGTGGTCTAAAACCGACCAAAAAGACAGAAAACTTGTCTGTCTCGCATGATTTCAGGTCTTACACAAATAGCGACACCTATGCATATATTTGCAGTCTTATTTTAGCAATGAAATGTTTTTTTTTAGACGGGACATGTTGACTTCAGTGATTTTTCCCAAAGTAGTTTATTGGTAATTGTTGAGTTTTCCACAGCTAGGCTATGTTTAGTCAGATACCCTCATGTCACATCTAACTGGCATCCTAACAGTGTAAAATCGCACTTTCAGCTCAAAAACGGACGTGAAATGGTCACAGATTAATACAAACAAAGAGTATGCAATTTTACAGCTCCATATCACACTTTACAATTTAAAACAACAATGATTAGCAACTAAAAGCATTTCAGTGACCACATTTACCAGTCTTTACAAATAGTAAGTGGCCATTTTTATATTGAGCAGTTCAATTTTTATATCTAGGTGCATGTAAAAATAAAAAGTAAGACAGCCAAAAGGAATAGATTTTTGGTCTAAAACTCAGCTTTTTCTACCTTGATGTCATAACAACATCAAATTGAAATTTTGTATTCTTACAATACATGTAAAGAGTTCTGTAAACAATTTTTGACGTTTTTTAGATGTCAATTTGATGTCATTTTAATGTTAATTACATGAGTCGACATCAGATTGATTTGCATTGACCATTTTTACTAAAAGTAAGTATACATTTTTATATTGAGCAGTTCTGTTTTTATCTGGGTCCACGTAAACATTAAATTAAAAATGGTAATGATTTTTTTGGTCTAAAACTCAGCTTCTTTTTTTGGTAGATACCGTTTATCTTGATGTCATAACGAAATCAAATTGACATCAAGCATGACGTCAAAACTGCACATCGATTCGATGTCAAATCATTGACATCTATTTGATATCAACACATCGTTGCCCTTTTGACCACCAAATAATGGCAAATAAATTATTATGATAATTATCTGAAAGCTTCAATTACAAAGTGCAAATAAACACTGGATTTTGTATCCATGTAATGCA